TTGGATTGGCCTTCGGAGTCAAACTTCGCATACGAGGCGTCTTGTGATCCTTCCATTTTCGTCTTTGCTTATCTTTTGTCTTGCTTTGAAACGTCGTTTGCAAATATGCGGTTTCTGCAGCATTTTTGAGTTTCGATTTGAATTTTCGAAGTCAAAGTAGTCGTTCGAAGCTTGATATCCTTTCCTAGGACCTACCGGAACTCGTACCAATACAACAATCTTCACTGCATTGAATTCGATCCATTGGCGTTTCCATTAATTCTAGTTTCTAGCAAAATCTATGTGTATTAGTCTATGACTCCTCAAAGAGAGCGTCTTGCAGCATCTTGACTTTTAGTTGTGCACCCCATTCTCCGTACCAGCGGATTGCCTCCGAAATGCGATAATTCGCCTCTTCTGCATCCTTCCTTTCAAATTTCAAAAAGTCTGCATACCGTTCATTGAACAAACCAGCATGATGCAAATGCCCAGTTCTTGCTGCCTGCTTGATTGATTTCTGGTACTGCACCTCTGCTTTGGCGAAATCGTTCGTCAACGCTGCATGCTCGGCACTCAAGAAAGAATCGTAATACTTGACATTGGGATTCCCATTATAGGACCAGCGCTTCACCTTCTTTCGGACTTTGACAGCAGCGGTTTTATATTTGCGGTTCTTGCTCTTTCGGGCCATGGCATACAGGGCTATGCCTCGATGGAAGCATTCAATCATAATAATAGCATGCGATGAAAAGATGTTCTCAAAGTCTTTCTCTCGTTCCAATGCCGAGTCTGCTGCTCGCTGGTACTCCCCATAAAAGAGGTAAAGCTCGGATTCAAAGTGGCGAATAATTGGCAAGTGATTTGGAACAGTCGGAACAAACTCATCAACATTGAATGCAGTTCCTTTCAATACTAGTGGGTCGTCGCATCTTCCCATGAGATTCAAGAACAACTGCCACCATTGACGGCTATTGACCAGTTGGTCGTTTTGTCGCAAATCGATCATCTGGGATATCATTCTTTCACATGGCTCCTCCATCGTAGTCAAACACTTTCCCATCGTGTAAGAATAAAAAGTGTGGTACACATTCAATGACCACATGGCATACTCAATATTTCCCGATCGCATACCTAAAGAATGGGCGGTTTCAACAGCGCGTTGGCATGATTGCAGCGGCTTGGTCCAGCAGAGAATGTAGGTTTGAGACAAAAAGATAGTCTGGCATTGGGTGTGCTTGGTTCGAAAGGATTTTTGAATCAGCAACCCAGCTTGCGCCAAGTCTGTGCTTGTCTTGTAATCCTTCATGACACTGATTACGACCATACCCAAAGAAGCAAAGGCTTGACCAGACAGTGGTGACACACCGTGTACCAAAGATATGTCTACCATCTTGCAGGCTGAGAGCAAGAGCAGGGAACTATTCGAAGTGAAGTAGCTGGCATAGAATATTCTCGAAAGGAACAGCATGACTGCTCGCAGCCTCTTGTCGTTCGTTACTTTGGGATTCTCGTAGGAAGATAATGGTCTTTTCTTCGTTGCCTTGACTGTCTTGATAAGAGTGTAAATTGCCTTGGCAGAAAAGGGTAGAATCCCTGTCGTTATTGGAGATCCAAGTTCCTTCAGTACATCGAGACACAAGTCTATTGTTGCTTGGTGCTTCAGATCCACGTTGCAGAGCTTAATCGATTTGGCCACGTAGACAGGTAACTTCTCTATGGAAGATAAATCAGGTTGCGACAGCACCTCCTCGATGTATTCTTCCATGACTTTATCATGTCCCAAGGCAACCTCCATTTCCGCTCCCAGTGAATACAATTTGAGCGTCAAATCGCGATTCGAGCTCCACATGTCATCTGGAAGTTGTCGAATGCCGGCTTGCACATAGGTAGCTGCACTCTGAAATCCGCTTGTACTTCGGGCCTTCAATGCAGCCTTCAAGTTCAATTTTGCAAACTCCGGCCTCGTTTGCGACCGTCCTTGGTTCAGGAGATTGACAGCATCAAAGAGTACTTCGTCCATTTCTTTTGGTTGCAGGCTACTGTACAAGGTCACGCCGAGGTTGAATTGAAAGGAGTCCTCTGAAGCGTCGCCCAGCATCAATGCAGCCTCTTGGACTTTGTCGTGCACCCATCTATAGGATTCTTCATCAACACTTTCAATGAAATTCTCTGCTTGCAGACGTCGAAGAAGCGAAGTGACATCCGTTGGTGAGTCACCGCTGACTATGCCCAGCTTTTCCCAAATCGTATCTAGAACGAATGTCTTAAAAGGAGACCCCAAACAGGATGCAAATTGAAGCAAGAGTTGCAATGCCTCGGACATTTTTTCCATTCTGGCCTGCAGTAAATCTACGACGTTGGAAGATGACATTGTCTCTTTCTCAATCTTCTTTTCTTCCCAAACCCATTTGAGCAGACCCAAATTGAATGACAGAAGGCCTTCCAGTTCCAGCATTGTAATGAATTCAATCACAAAGAATGGGTTACCCAACGTCCGTCGAGCGCAAATGTCAGACAATCCACTCGTGGTGTCTTCGTTGTCAATCGACAGCATTGCCATGATTATCTTGTTGATGTCAGTCTTTTGAAGTGGTTGCAGCTCGATTTGTGTCATGTTGAATTGAAAGGTCTCTGTTTTCCGATGAAAGTCATCGATCGTCTGTGCCAGAGGGTGTGACAAGTCGACTTCATTGGACCTATAGAGTCCAACAATAACCAATCCATTCGTATTTTGCGTGTCGGAAAGAAGAAAATCAATGGTGCGCAACGAGGCTGCATCAGCCCATTGTAAGCCATCCAAAACCAATACAAATGGTCCAATACGTGAGCAAAGAGCTCTCGTCAGGGTGCGAAAGGCATGTTTCATTCGTTGAACATCTGCTGCAAAATCACTTCCGTCAGTGGTGTGTACAGTTCCCTGGGCCACAGATGCACTGTCCGGCGTGAAAGCAAACATTGTTATCGTTTCCAACTCAGGTATCAGATCCACCAAAGACTGAATGGAGGAACCCAATTCGTTTACGACTTCATTCCCAATACCTGCAATGTCTTCCTCTTGGATGTGCGTCTGCTTGTTCTTGATCGCACGGATCAGATTCCCAAAGGCATCCGCAATGCCAGAGTATGGTTCACCATATCGATTCATGGTGTAATTCCCCTGCGTGGTGCACCCCGACGGATGCTTTCGTATCAGTTTCCGTATTGGGTCTACCAATCGAGTCTTTCCGACACCAGAGTATCCTTTGATGATAATCAGCTCCTTGTTTCTTGGGGAATCATCATCGTTGGTTGGTTTCCTTCGTGCTACAAATCGATCTATACAAGTCTCAAGGGTACTGATTTCTTTCTCACGCCCCACAACATCAATGTCGTAATTCAGCTTGTTGATTTTGAGTTCTTGTTTCACCTCTTCTACCTTTCTCTTGTTCTTTTCAGACTTTTGCATTGTGGCCCCTGTGAACCTGGAATTCCCACTCTTGTGGGACCTCCGAAAACTCCATGAAACTGATACATTTTCGGATCCATCCTCGTCGTCGTCGTCGTCATCTAACAGACTACCATGTCCTGACTCGGATCCTTCCCCTATTGAAAATGGCATTGACGAGTCATTCTTCCTACTCTTGTAGCATGGAGGACCATCACTCTTGTTGGATCGACTTAAAAAATCGTCCGGAATGTAAACAACTCCACTGGCAATGTTTTCCAATTCTGTCAATGGAACTGCCGCTCGAAAATCGACTTCATCACTCGACATGTAATCCAGCTCTGTCAGGGGAACAGCCGGTTGCGCCATTGTGGTTGGTTATGCTGCTGCCTTCTCTATATATGCTTTCTTTGAGAGGACGGTATATGCTTTGCGTTTGGAAGAGGTACAAGAAGATGTGTCTGATCTTGTTATATAAATAATAGTTTGGACACATCGAACGGTATGTCTTCGTTTCGTTTTCCCTAATTGATGAGATATCGCATGCGACAAAAATACAGAAGTCCCTCCACTCCTGTCTGTCACCCGTGTGTTCGGGTTGCGTTTGGACGAGGACAGACCTGATGACAGGATCCAACAATCGATCAATCCAAATCGAACTTCGAGAAAATAGAACGATTCGATATCCAAGAAGAATCAGCATTCGAACATCATAGTACACAACCCAGTAAAACAATCAATCCAACATCATCATAATGTCGGAACCGCCAGAGGCCAAACGCTCCAAGACAAGTAGCATACTGGAAGAAGTATTGGCCTCCAATTTGCTGGCAGACGACAAGGCCAAGGAAATCCAAGAACAATACGCATCCAGCCAACCCTATTCGCATGCTCAAATCAAGAACTTGTTTCATTCCAAGTTCTTGCTTTCCGTCAAGGAAGAAATCAAGAGTCAAACCAAGGTGAATTTCAAGGAATCTGATTTGTTTCGAGTCTACCAGAGCATTGATTTGGCCAATCTGGAACCTGGAAGTGATCTTTCCAAGCAATTGCCCAATGTCATGAAGCTGAGAGAAGTTTTGTATTCTCAAGAATGGCGATCCTTTATTGAGAAACTATGTGGATTGCCTCCTTCGACACTGGTTGAGAAAATAGATTGTGCTTGCAATTGCCATGCTCCCGGATGTCATTTGCTATGTCACGACGATGTGATTGGGACTCGAAAAGTATCTTATATCATATACTTGACTGAGGAAGACTGGAAACAAGATGAAGGCGGATCCTTGGAATTATATGGTCAGCAACTGGATAATCCTACTTCCAAGAAGCAGAGTTCTCCAATTCCTCTAGCTCGTGCTTGGCCATTGTTCAATAGCATGGCATTCTTTGTCGTCAAACCTGGCGAATCCTTCCATGCGGTCCAAGAAGTGACGGGCGAACGACCTAGACTTAGCTTACAAGGATGGTATCATGCGGCGGAACCACCAAAGAATATGGAACTAGCAACCTTGCAACAGCTCAAGGCAGACAACGATGCATCAAAAGCAGGAACTGATGCCGAAAAGACATTTGATGAATCGGAAGCAAAGGAATTTAGTGATGCTGATAAGGAGTATCTCAGCAAATATTTGGTGCCAGAATATCTAAAAGAAGAGAGTATGGACGAAATTCACAAGAAATTTGAGAATGATTCCAGTGTTCAATTGCGAAATTTCTTGCAAGACAAGTGGGTTCCCAAAATGGAGTCTCGGACTGGCAAGAAGCGAGCAAATGATATGAATCATTACATGGAAGGAGTATCGAGCGAATGGAAACTGCGAGGTCCAGCACACAAGCAGCGATATCTGGAATTCCGCCCACAGCCATCCACTACGGATTGCGCGGTCACTGGGTCCATGATGCATTACGTCAAAATGAAAGTATTTGAATCACCAGTCTTTGCCCGATATCTGAAACGAGTTACTGGCCTGGAACACCCCACTGGAATCAAGGAAAGCAAGATTCGAAGATTCCGTCCTGGACTCGATTACACTGTGGCTCACTATGGTTTGTTGGTGAAAGAATCAGTGTTGGATGCCACCTTGTGCTTTGTCGCTGATGGAAATGAAGACGACAAGGCAAAGTGGGAGTATGGGGATTCAGGAGGCTTTGAATGCTACATTGAAGCGGATGAAGAAAATGAAGAAGGAGGAAATCAAGCTGCCGATGAATACAACGAAGATGATGACACGGAACTGCTCAGTGTGAGTGCCAGCAACAATACATTGTCTTTGGTGTATCGGGATCCAGGAACGATGCGATTTGTCAAGTATGTTGGCTCCTCGGCACCAAGTTCGAGGTTCGATATTGCAATGGAATACCAAGTTCCAGAGGGCGAAGAGGATGATGACGAAAATGCGGACGATGATGCGGAAAAGCAGGAAAGTGAAGATGTCGGGTTCTGAAAAACTACGAACAATTTTCATAGACAAGATTCATCGTAGCTTTTTCTAAGTTATGCGGTTGTTGGCATGACGTGCACTTTTAGTATTAGGGCTTGCCCATCAGATCAAATCGCTCGAGTGTGATATACTCGGGACCGTCTTTTGAAAGCTTACTTTCGATCAAGGCCACATGATTGACTCCAAATGGGTGTGTACGGTCCTTTATCTCCCTTGCTTCATTTGAATCTGAATTCATCATTCGATCTAGTAGGTCTTGCAACGCAGGAGGGAGGGAAGATGAATTCCCAGGTTCTTGGCGCCGCCCTCGTTTTCGTCGGCCTCCAGTCCCTCGTTTCACTCTTCCAAGAGTTACATGCGCGCTAAATGGACGTCTTTCACGGCGAAATCCCAATGGCTCCGTGGTATCCATAACTGTACAAGACAGATCCTTCAACTTTTGAGTCTCACCCTCCAGTCCCAACCATACAACACTTGCGTTCTTGGTACTTTTGTGGTTTGGAAAGCAACCCAAGCCTCCTAGTTGCAAGGTGAATGGTGGAGTCGACAGCACTTTTCCTCGTAGTTGGTCAGACAAGTCTTGGATACGATCTTCTTCGACCGATCCCAGAAACTGGAGAGTGCAATGGAACAGAGAAGGCTCCAAGACCCATTTCACTGTAGACTTGTCGTTTTCAGTTTTGTCCAGAGGAAGTAGCCTGTCTGTTATGGTTTCAAGGCACAACTCTTTCATATCGTCCGGTAACTCGACAGCGATGAATATTCGCTTTGGCGCTTTCGGTTTCGATGGCTTGCTAGAAGCTGTTGTCAAAGCCGTGGCACAAGTCGGTGATGAAGTGGTGGAGGAAAGGAAGGATGCCACTGCACCCATGATCCAGTATCTTTCGAATCTGCAAAGTCTGTGTCTGAAACGGTGTAAGTGACGATAACTTATGCAACCAATCATGCTTGTAAAGTTATATCTTTTCAAGTTTCAATCATAATGTCAAGCACGTTTGGCGGAAAGATCTGATGTTATTCTCACAACAATAAAAATGCGAAATGAGCTTTGGATCGATTTCAAAGTTTGGAACTGTTTCAGAACATCCAAAAATGAAAATAAAAACGCATGACGTTCGGACGTCGAAATAGAAGTCGAACGAGTCCTCAAAACCACGCACTTCAATGCCATCTCATCATCACACACACATCAGAATCATTCATAATCATCTCATTTCTGTCCATCCCGGAAAGAGATAGTTGGGCTGTTTCGTGGATGCAATGATCCCCAAGACTTTTATTTTTCTCCAGTTGGTTGCAATGTGGTGTGCTGTACATCGCCTGACGACACGTGTCTCCGCATTCTCTTTGAATTCCGCTGCCACCAGCAGCAGACGCTACAATGCTCAATCCGTCGCCCTTCGGTTGAGCAGTTCTACATCTGAAGCTTCCCCGCTTACTGTGATTCCCAGAGTCAAGGCTGCTGATGCCACTGAAGCTAGTGAAGGACCAGTCCTTGTCAAGGGTTGGGTGCGAACGCTCCGAAAGCAAAAAGAAGTTGCATTCGTTCAGATTAATGATGGATCCAATCTTGGAGGGATCCAATGTGTTGTTCCGTTGAGTGAAATCGACGAAGATACCAAGAAAGGTGCGTTTTGCACAAGGACGATTCCGGGGAGGAAAAAATGTTTGGTTGGCAATCGGCTCATGTTCTTTTACACCTCCTTTATCTTTAGAGCTCGACAAAGTTTCCACCGGATGTGCTGTGGTTATCGAAGGTCCACTAGTCAAATCACAAGGAGGAAAACAAGCTGTGGAAGTCACAGCTAACAAGCTAAAGGTGGTAGGCGAGTGTCCCGGTGATACTTATCCTCTAGCCAAGAAGCGTCACACTCTCGAGTACCTTCGAACGATCGCCCATTTGCGTCCCCGTACCAATACCATTGCGGCCGTAGCCAGAGTTCGATCCCATTTGGCCGGAGCCATACATGCTTTCTTCCAAGAGGTTGGTTTTGTTTATGTTCAGACACCATTGATCACAGCCAGTGATTGTGAGGGAGCAGGTGAACTATTCCGCGTTACCACCCTCGAGATGGACAAGATCTCCGACCTTCCCTTGAAGAAAACCGAAGATGGAAAGGGAACCACGGACGAAATTGACCACAGCCAAGACTTTTTCGGAAAGCCAGCGTACTTGACTGTCAGTGGTCAGCTGGGTGGAGAAACATATGCTTCTGCCTTGGGTGACATTTATACATTTGGCCCAACCTTCCGTGCCGAAAACTCCCAAACGACAAGGCATCTTGCCGAGTTCCACATGGTGGAGCCCGAGATGGCCTTTGCGGACCTTGATTCTGCTATGGGAAACGCCGAGCAAATGCTCAAGTATGTGGTCAAGCATGTGCTAGACAAATGTCAGGAAGACTTGGAATTCTTTTCCAAATTTTACGACAAGGAATTGATCAAGAAGCTGGAAGCACTTGTGGAGCAACCATTCGCCCGAGTTTCCTACAGAGATGCGATTGCCTACCTACAGGAAGAAATTGCCAAGGACCCATCCAAGTGGCAATTCCCGGATGTCGAATTTGGCACTGATTTGTCCACCGAACACGAGCGCTGGCTTGCGGAAACCAAGTTTGGAAGCTGTGTCTTTGTTTACAACTATCCCAAGGCCATCAAGGCGTTCTACATGCGTGACAATGATGAAGATGGCGGCGAAACTGTGAACGCTATGGATCTGTTGGTTCCAGGTGTTGGAGAATTGGTTGGCGGAAGTCAACGTGAGGAACGATTGGATGTCCTATTGGACAAGATGGGTGAATTGAAGCTCGATCCCGAGGACTACTGGTGGTACCTTGATCTTCGGCGCTTTGGTTCTGTACCACATGCTGGATACGGGCTTGGATTTGAACGTTTGGTGACTTATGTTTGCGGAATTGAAAACATTCGAGAAGCCATCGCGTACCCCAGATACCCTGGACATGCCGAGTTCTAATAAGAAGACTTGCACATTGGACGATTTTATCAAACAGTAAATTAGAAATTATGCATGGCACCATTGGATTATAATACATTGAGTATTATAATACTACTCCAATTGGCGGTCTATAAATATTAACAAAACAAGTATACAAACAAGGAAGTAAGCAATTGTCCATGTCACAACTAAACAATGAGAGAGTGAGGACATGGTTCTAGCAAAAAGATACTGCTTCCGAATCCATCACCATTGGCTGAACATGGAAGCTGCAACAGCACCGAGCAAGATGGTGAACGCAAGGGCGTAATCGACCCGAGCCCTCGTTACAGCAGCGCTGGCACTAATGGTATCGCCCGGAGCCACATCTCCAGGAGATATAGTAGGACTGTTGGTCGGCGTTTCATCTCCATCTCCACCCCCACTTCCACCACCAGAATTGGGCAACCCACATTGGGGATAGGTCTCCATGAATCGTTGTGGGGTTGGATCTCGAATCACCGCCGTTTGACAAGTGGAAGTCGCACAGGACTCTATATTGCTACAGTCCGGCATGTTCCGAAAGAACAAGTTATTGACAAAGTCTTGTTCGCCACAATCCCCATAACCCACACTGTTGCATTCTTGACCATCCAAGGTGACGGACGGACAAAGATATTCGGCTTCCGCGAGAGTGTAGTTTAGCAAATCTTGGACGGAACCAATGCACGTTGGACGATCCAAACATATTTCTAGCACACCGTCCATATCTTCCAAGACATCGTACAGTGCAAGCCGACAAATGCTCCAATCGTTTCGGCAAAGTCGTCCCGTTGGACCATTTTGCAGAAAATCCGTACAGGATTCAGCCCGTGTAATGTCCAAAATATCACCATTGGTCACATTGTTGTCGTCCAAGGTGAAAGTAAAGGTAAGATTGTGGTTGACGCAATATTCCAAGGAAGCCGATTGTTTGTCGAGGAAGCAATATTCTTGAATCGTGCAATCCATTACCAAATTCGAGTCGCTGCCTCCAGAACACGAGCAGTCGTAGTTTTCCTTGAGGCTCTGCGTCGTTCCAAGATAGTCGACAGCGTGGGAGCATAAATCAAAGGCAGTTGGCTCTAACGTTGGTGAAATGGAATCATTATCGCCGGGGGTTACCATGATGGTGGGAGCAAGAGAAGGGGATGTGGTAGTGCTGTTTGTTGGCTCATTATCATCATCATCAGCATCCTCGTTTTTTTCACATTCTGGATATCGAAAGAGAAATCGTTCCGGAGCTGTATCGATTCGAGGATAGGCTTGACAGGAGGTAGTAAGACATGGATTGACGTTGCTGCAATCTGGCATGGCGACATAACGGGTCTGTGTTGTCTCATCAAAATCGGCACATGCCAACAGGTTGAATGCCTGGCATTCCACATCATTGTACAGTACTGTTGGACAAATATAATCAATCTCTAATGGCGTTCGGGTTGTATTTTCATTGAAAAAGGCCTCACAGGTGGTTCGATTGTTGCAGGTAGCAATTGCATCTTGAATAGTATAATCGTATTCCAGTTGCAATGCAATGCGGCAGGGATTGTAATTGACATTGGTGAAGTTGCCAGTGAATCCAAATCCGGATTCAAAGACATCGGAAGAACCGAAGCGAGAAATATCAGAGATTGCTCCAGTAAACGTGTCCACAGTAAAATCATAGGTAAAGCTCCGAGTGACGCATTGTTCCGTCGTTGGGAATGTGAGGTTTGTGTTTTGAGCGGTAGAAATGACATCCTCGTCACCACCACCACCATTGCCACCAACAAAGCAATGATTGTCCAACACGCAAATCATGGAAAACTCGGAACCGAAATCTCCCGAACAGGTGCATTCATAATACAATCGAAGCAAGTTTTCACCAGCATTGGTGCTATCCCAAGCGAAATAGTCGGTAGCATCCAAACATTCGTTGACGACGACCACATTGAGGCGACGTTCTTGATGATGTTGATTCATCATTGCAAGGTTTTCCACTTCCTCGACAATGAACATTTGATTGGCGGCATTGTACATACCATCTGAAGAGACAGCTGCAGCTATAGCTGATTGGCACAATGACAAGAGCAGCAGTGCCAATGCTGATGATGCCTTCCTCATGGTGGTTGCGGATTGATGGATCGATTGATTGATTTGTTATATTACAGTATTTTATTGCATTTGTTGTGTTTTGGGATGTTTGAATTCACAGCCAATGAGATGCGCGCGCTTCTTCCATTGTTAACCGCACTGAAAGAGTCCTTTTGAAGGAAAGAAAACGAGCTCTCTGATCGACTATACGAGCTCGCATGCAACCGTTCGTTTGTCCATCGTCGTTACATGTACGAGACGATCTTTCGAGAAGAAATAATGGGCATCGGCAGGAAACCGAATCGCAGCACAACCTCCTTTTGAATATCCATTCAAGCCAAGTCAAGTCAACAAACAAGAAAAAGAAAAGATGTTCACTTCTGCGCTTCGTCAAGGCTTCCGTCGTGTTGCCAACAACACCACCACTGCCCAACGTGGATTTGCTACCGTTGGTGCCAAGGTTGCCAAGAGTGACAACGCTCGCAAGGCTCTTGTGGCTGGAGCTGGTCTGACTCTTGCGGTTGCAGCTCTTCAACAACGTGAGGTGAGTTTGTGTGAACTTGGTACATCATGTATTTTTTTGGATTGAATTGTAGTTTGTGCATGTGTCTTTTGGAAGGAGACCAAAAAAAGGACCATGCTGATGGCGCAGCTTATTGTTGAGATTCATTCATGCTTCCTGTTCTGTATCTTCTTTCATCATCGTTGTAATCACCTTTCGTTCCATCAATCTAAACCTTCTACTTTCCTCTTTTTTTCGTTTCATCCCATTCAAATCAACCGATGAATCAACCGATGAATCAATCAATGAACCAATCAATGAACCAATCAATCAAATATATTATACATGTAGGACAACAAGACCCAAAACTTGTTTGGAAACAAAAAGGCTGTCAAGGCTGTCGAAGACAAGTTTGGAACCTACTGGCCACGCAACATTATGATCTTGTTTGGACCCCCCGGTGCTGGTAAGGGAACCCACGGCCCCAAGATTGAAGACATGCTGGGCATTCCACAACTCTCCACGGGGGACATGCTTCGTGCCGCCGTCAGTGCTGGAACCGAAGTCGGAAAAAAGGCCGAGGCGATCATGAAGGCCGGCGGTTTGGTCAGCGATGACATTGTGATTGGGATCATTCGCGATCGCATCCAAGAAGAGGACTGCAAGTTTGGTTTCATCTTGGATGGATTCCCACGTACTCTTGCCCAAGCCAAGGCTTTGGATAAGATGTTGGCCGATGAGGGTGCCTGTGTCACCAAGGTTGTCGAATTGGAGGTTCCTGATTCGGTTCTAGAAGAGCGCATTACGGGACGCTGGATCCACAAGTCTTCGGGACGTTCGTATCATGTCAAGTACGCTCCACCAAAGTCCATGAAGCTGGATGCAAGCCTAAAGCCCATTCCAGAAACCATGACTGACGATGCCACTGGAGAACCCTTGATGCAACGTAAGGATGATACCGCTGCCGCCTTGACAAAGAGATTGCAGAGCTACCATGGAGAGACTGTCCCTATTTTGGCCCATTACAAGCCAAATGGTGTTGTCCGAGCAGTCAACGCTAACCAAGGAATGGACGGAGTTTGGGGAGAGATCCTTGCTTCCTTGCAACGAAAGGCATAAGAAGAAACAAGAAGAAGGAAGACGATGATGATGATGATGGTGATGATGATGATGATGATGATGATGATAATGATAATGAAGTCAAGGCTACTTCAGTTATGTATATTGACGAAACAAGAACACAAGAGCAAAAAAATCATCCAGCTTTCAAGGGAAAAGGCAACAACAACTCGACCTCTAGTTTTTAAAAGTAGACGTGGCGTTGAAGCTTTTTTTCTTTCTGTTTTTGGTGGTGGTGGTGGTTTGTTGTTGTGCATGAATGGATGGAGAAATATAAAAGGGAACAGTTTCGCCCTCTTTTTTTGCTTTGGATCATAGGCGTAGCATAGCGCCGTACTTTCGTTGCAACAACAAATCTAGATATTTTACTATAATTTCGTACGCAATCTAGAGATACAGTCCTGTACTAGCATTTGATCATTTATCGTGACTTGGTCGGCAACATCCCCGTCATGCAAACACTCCTGGTATCACCACCACTATGATTCATCTGCATCACCTGACTCTTATTCTCCCGTTTCGTCACTGCCTCCTCCTTTTCCTTTTCCTCGTCCTCGTATTCGTTGTATCAAATCCTGGAGCATGACCAATGGATTCTTGAGTTGAATCTTTCCCGTTTCAATGCCCTGTTGGACCAATCCTGCCGCAAAGCCTAAAACGGCACCCGCCAAGATGAGCGTCAATTCATCTTCTTCAAAAATGGGATGTAGGACACGTTCAAATTTAGCCGGCGACATGGCTTCCATTTTGATGCGCAGGGTTTCTTGCAATCCTAGAGTCTTGTCAATGTATTTGTGCAATACGTGGACATGATTGGGCAACTTGTCCATGGCCGTTTGAGTGACCATATTGACCGTATTGGCATCTGGTTTGCCCTTGAACAGTCCAAACGAAATAAGGGTGCAAAATTTGCGAAAATGTTTGGACAAGAGTTGGTGCAAGGCGGGTGTCGTGGATGGATCGTGCAGCATGCTGTCCCACAATTTGGGACTGTTCAAAATTTTGGTGGCAAAGAATTTGGAAAATTCGGCGGAAACTTCCTTTTGCCGACGTAGGAATTGTCCTTGCAATACAAAGGGCCCCACCTTGGTCGGATTGATGGGTTCAAAGATCCATTTGAGGGCCAACCAATTGGTGGCCAACCCCACGATGCCACCACCGATACTGAGAGACCAAGGATTTTCCCACACCAGGGCCACTCCCATTTGAATCAGTCCGAGTACAAATCCAAACCACAATCCACTGTTGGTCAAAAAGTCTAGTTCTTTCTGTCCGACCTTTTGAAATAACTCTCCCAATTTGGCACGATCTTGCACCATTTGTTCGACGACACAATTTTCCAAACTAAAGATGGAATCAATGTTGTGTTGCATATCCGCCACCATTTTGGTAAGGTACCCTTTGCTAAAGTTTTGCAGTAAAGAGGCATGCTTGGTTTGGATGCGATTCCACAAGGATACGGGCCAGGTTCCAATGGATTTGGGATAGAGTTCATGAATGATATCGTCTCCCAACAACCCAACCCGAGTGGAAAGCAAGGCTGCCACTTCGTTTGGATCCAATCGAGCAAATGCCTCGTGAACCGTCAATAATTGAGAAGTCACCATGTCGACAATGGCCACCGTCATGGCCTTGGTTTTGCAGGGAACAATTCCTTGCCATCCCAAGAGTCCCAAGGGCACTTCCGGAAGTCGATACAAGGGGATCCCACGAAATTCAATGGGAAAAAAGATCATCTGGACCGCCAAGTAATTGGTGAACCAACCTACGATTGCAGCAATGATGGGAATGGTCATGTAAGTCCCTGGTCGAGCCTTGAATTTGGCAATGGCTTTTTGGAAAACACCAAGCCGCTTTTCTTCTCCATCCGAAGACGATACTTTGGTCGTCAACCGGACACGGTCGCGAGTAAATGTGACTAGGGAATTTGGAGCTGATCTGATTTGAATCGTTGTTGCTGATGGAAAAGGTATCCTGGTCGTGGTTCTTGTGGATGCTGGTGAGTGGTGAAAGGCAACAACAGATTGTGGTGTGCTAACGATCATCATCATCAACAACATTGATGTGACTACTATCAACGTTTGGTGACATCTTTTACTTCCGGACGTCATCAATCTTGAACTTTGTTTCATTGTTGCAGTAGTTGGGTGGAAGGGAGGTGGGTGCTTTGATTGTTGTTGGAGGCGTTCTATTTACACGGCTGATGATGATTCGACTACTGTACTGTACTGTATGATATTTTATGCGATCCGTTGAAGATGCGATGCGATTGATTTTGATATTGATTGATTGATTCATTCGAGCGATGATATCGAATTTGATGTTTTGGATATCATCCTTCATCCCCAACGTGGACTGACGAAAGAGGTCGAACAGATCGACTCAAATTTTCGTTGGTCGATTGATTCCAAATTCCGTCGATGCGATTGTGGTTCTCACAAAATAACGCAAACACAATCACAACACCATGGTGTTCTGACATTATGGACAGTACTGTTTCTTTCCATAAGACTACAATCCTTGTCTAGCGATAGAAGATAGCAAGTAAAAGTTCAAGAGACGATAAGGATGGAGGATCACTTTTGGCAACAAGCTTTGATCCAAGCAAGAACAAGTGGTTCCATGATGTTGCATCCATCGGTAAACAGGCAAACTACGTTCTGCTGGATGGGACGATGGCGACCAGATCCCAGAGACTCTCATTCTGTGCGATGGTTCTCTATTATTATCCTCACCAGTGGCAAATGTAGGATTGGTCCACTGGTTGTTTCCTTCCGTCGCATTCCAACACACGTGGTCCTCGTCGCGTTGGATCTCAGTGCTGGAAAGAATGCACTCGTTTGCATCCCGGACAACATTGCAGTACCCTTATTGCCAAAGTTGACATGCTTCTTTTTAGGAGGATATCCTGATGATCATCCCGAATGGAAGAATGAATCGATTCACAACATTGTCCGACCTCGCTGATTTGGTTGAGTTGGAACATTCTTTGTCGGTCCATGATGATACCGAACTGAAAGTCGTTCCGATAGTTCTTTGCCCCCTTCTCTACAAATCTTACCGTTTGGATCGTTGTCCAATTGAACAAATACAAATGAATGCCATCCAAACTACCTCCCAACTTCTTTACTGTCCTTCATTTGGTGGGGGGCTGCGCGCTGTAACCTACTGTTGCCAGCCAGGTCCTTACTTGTTGGATCATCTGCAATTGCTTCCAGATTCATTCGGTCAAAGAGTAACACTTGTCCATTAGTTTACAAGATACAGTATGGTGCTGCCCGATGGGTGCATTCTTTGAAATTCCTCCACCAGGAGATTTGTTATTGCAGGCAAACAATGGACAGTATTATATTTAATAGCTCTCATCATTGAAAGATAGTTTTAATTTGCCAGTGGCGGAAGAATCATTGTAGTAAACGAGACAAATCCTTGTTGATGTCCAACAAAGAACTTGTTCGTCTTTACTGTTCTCCACCAGCACAGGAGGAACCAGAAGGATGATTGTAGCACCGATACTGTTGCATACTGATGAGACTTGTATGGTCAGCTTGGCCAAAGAGAGACATGGTGGATGTTCTGACGCTGTATGTGCTCTCCCTCTCCGCTCTACTCTTCTATCCTATCTACAGGGTATCTACTGTAAGCTGATCTACATATTGATCTGACTGACTCATTCGACCCTAATAATTTCAAATTCTACGAGGAGATCAAAAATTCCTCTGACGCATTACAAAGAGATGCTCGTGCACGATGGATGATCTGCAGGTTCTTGCCAAATAATGACTCATCAATCATCGGCGCAGTTGCTCCAGTATCTTATCGTGTCAAATTAAACGAAAAGTTACCCATACATTACCAACCAACCAACCAACCAACCAACCCATGTTCGCTAAAAGTATGATCCAAGCTTGGCTTCTTGCCACCTGCTGCATGGCACTTGCTGCCGCTCAATTTCAGAGTGTGGCAATGACGGAAGGATCCCTCCAGGGTACCTTGGAATCCAAGGTGACGACTGCGGACCCGGCTGCCAATGGTCAAGACACCATCACTCTGAAATACACTGTGCCAGGAACTTCTTGGGTTGCGGTTGGTGTCAACCCAACTGGTGGGGGCATGGTGAACTCGGAAGTTGTCATTGGCAAGCCCGAAGACGATACCGTGCTCAAGTACGCCATCTCGGCCAGGGGTGTTTCTGCCGTGGTGGAACAACCAAACCAAACTCTCATCAACACAAGCCTAGTACAAGCCAATGGAAACACTGTCTTGACTTTCACCAAGCTTTTGGAAGAGACTGGAGAATACAGCATTAATCCTGGTGCCGTGAATACCTTTGTAGCCGCCTTTGGATTTAGCAACTCGTTTTCATTCCACGAAGGTTTTGGAGTTCAACAAATCAATGTGCCTGCTGCCACTCCCGTCGCCCCAGACACTCCTTGTAAGTTACCCTTTTTGCCTTTTGTTGTTGTTGTTGTTGTTGTCATGTGCTACCTACCATGTTGTTTTTCGTTTTCGTTTTTCTGACTTGGTTCGTTTTTTACCACACGTTTTTTTAGCACCCACCTCTGCTCCTGTCGTTGCTCCTACAGACGCTCCTGCTGTTCCAACTATGGCTCCAGCACCAACTGAAGCTCCAACTGTCGGGGATAGTGCAAGTCCTTCCATGGTAACTGGGTCCGTTCTTTTCACCGTTGTGGTGGTCTCGTCCTCCCTTGCCTTGTTCTGGTAAATGGATGAATGAATTGAGAATGAATGCATAAATGATCATGGTGCGGATTGAGGAATGATATTCTCAAGTTCTACCTGATTTATTTATATATATTAGTTCGAGTATCCGTGGTGTTAGGAAGAATTGATTTTTGTTGCAAGAGTTTTAAAAAAACTAGTAGTTTGTGTGTCTTGTTATTGATTAACATTATCCATACGTACTGTCTACTTGTAGGGGCGATGTGGCAGTATTCTTTTTCCATTTGAGCAACGAAAACCACGTTTCTTCAGCCTTTGCACCACGCTCCACCAAGGCATCGTCCACTGGATCAAATAATGACTTGGATCGTCGTGACTTTCGCTGTCTTTGACTGGTCTTGCCAGGTTGGATGGGCCAACAATCCAGTCGTGGTGGATCGGGTCGCAAACACCACTGTTTTCGTGTGGATCCTTCTGGCTTTTGACGCATGGCAATCGCCGTGAGAAGGCCCTTGAGGTTGTCCTTGGTGGGAAACTGCAAATATTCGGGAGCTTCATTCAGATATCGCAGCAGGATCTGGTCTTGCGTCTTGCCAGCTGATTCAAGTACCATGGTCTGAAGTAATGCTGCTGCAACCTCGACCGGTGTCTTTGTTGGCGTCGTCAAAGTTGGATTGTCGGATACGGAGTCGACTCCTGCTTCCAAATATTCCACCAACTGCTGTTGTAATGTCCTTTCATAGCGAATCCGGTTGTCAGATACCATACTTCTGGTGGGAATTGTATCTGATAAGGAATCATTGTGCAACGAATGATATCGCTTCAGCAATCCACTCGGTTCCATAGTCGACCAAGCTTCGGATTGTGACAATGACTCCATCCGTCGTCTCATGTTTTCTGCCACCACTATTCGATGCCACGTCTTTTCTTGAAAGGTAGTCATTGGACTTGGAGGAGACGAATCTGACTCAGCTTCACTAGATTGGCTTGATTCATCATAGGATGGTGATAGAAGTGAAGACTTCCATGGACCAGCAGCCATGGCAGCTTCTTTCGCTTTTTGATTTGGCCACGGAGGGCGTAGTTGCTCATACGAACGAAGGTCCATTTCCACCTCCAGCACTTGCCGTTCCAATATCTTGTGCAAAGGGTTGGTATCGGTGCCATCCCCAACGGACTGAGTATCGTCCTTTATCCGCTCAAATGACTGCAGAAGCTGCTGGGAGGCAAACACTTTGACATTCTCCTTGGCTGTGCGTTTGCGTTTGAAGTTTCCTGGCTGATTCGATCGGAGACACCTTGTGCGAAGGCCGCCATCAGAAGTTACAACAAAGACGTCAACATCCAAATTTTCTTCTCTATATTCAGGGTCGTCGTGCATCGTGACATTGGAAAGCCACCGCGTACTTTGTGCAATCACATCATCGGCCACGCGATTCGGTCCAGCAAATTCCACAAGACCAAGACCATCGTAGGCGAAAATATCAGGGCGACTGCCGTGATCAACATGGCAGACAATATTCAAGTTTGGATAGAATTGTCGTCGCCAAGCCTTGAGTTTGGAGAGCAGTTGGCTGTTGGTAAGCTTAAAGTCGTCTTTTCCTCGAACATTGTTGGAATCCACCATCAGTATGACGTCTCGTTGTTCTGCGACATTCAGACTGCCATCGAGACATGATTCCAATGCATTCCTCATATCACGATCATTTTTGGAAAGCTTGCTGGCACGTGAGATTGCTTTCTTTCCAAATAGGACTGTAGTGGATGGATTCCTCTTGACTGCTGCCAATGACGAGGATTTAGCAGGATTAAGTTGGAAGCCCATGGCTACGTAGCAATAGCATGTAGCAAAGAAAAGAAATGCGATCATTGTGCCTGTGTCAGTAATGATCATTCGATAGTAGTAATCTTTACGCTGTATGACAACTGCTTCTCCTCATTCTTGATTGTCGCCTCAATAGTCGTCGTTGTATTTTGTAGATGACAGTATCTGTATCTTTCTTTCTTATTTTCATTATCCATTGCCTTGATGGTGGACAGACCTCCACGTGTCTGTCGTCAGGGTACATCATAAGTACTGTACCGTACCTGGTACCAGTACGTACGGTGCTAGAAGTACTGTGCTTTATCATGCTGTGCATGCGCAGCCTTTGGTGGCAAACGCAATCGCAAGCTGTTCTCCTCTCTACAGCGAAAGATATTGACCCTCATTCCACACGGCACAAAAGTTTCTTCAAACATTTTCTTTGCGTGTTCACCGGAGCCTTCTTGTACAGTACCGTACCAGGAACCGGGTACAACTAATGTGCGAAGGGAGTCTTTTTTCAAGATGCGATCAACGGGAAAGCAAGCTTGGCCTGGTGATTATATAAAATAAGAATTTTTTCTTTCTCTTCTCAATGGTGAGGTATATTCATCCCGCGCCTTTAAAGTCTAACTGAAAACCTACGTATGATAGCGATCCCGGACTAAAAGACCGCTGTCCCTACTGGACTTGAGAGGATGGCTCTCACAAAATTATTTTCCTTCCAATTGACACTTACACAGCATAACATCACTGTATCCAAACAAAACAATGACTGCACTAATGCCCAGAGTCTTCTCCTTGTCACAGACTAAGACATCCACCAAAGAGAGCCTCCTCTCGAAAACACCGACATACGGACTTATCAAGGATTCGATCGATGCCAAGAGACTTCGAGCGGAAAGAGAATGCATCCAAGGCCTTCGATCCTACTCTGATAAATTCAACATTAAGATTTCGGAAAGCTTGCTGTTTCGATTTGCATGCTTTTATGACTTCGATCTGAAGAAGGCCCAATCGGGCATTGCTCACAGCCGTGAAAACGAACACTACCTTAACCTCAAGATGAACAACGACCCAGGTCTAAAAGAGTTCTTCGGCCGCAGAATCCTCTTTCCCCTCCCTGGTATTGTCAAAACCAAGACAGGCCACAACATGAAAGCCATCTACTTTTGTCCTGCTCGTTTCTTTGCGGCAGATCCAACTCATTGTAGATATGTCATCGAGAGCCTTCAGTACGTTCTGAACGATCTAAGTCGGTCTCAACAGCAAAGCCGAACAGGTGTCGCTGTCATTATCAACCTTGCTGGACATACCAACGAGAACTTTCACAGACCGACTGTGGCTAAGTTTCTTGGGAGTTTGGAAGGCAAGTTTGTGCCCACCACTGCGAATCTTTTGATCTTTGTGGATGCGCCCCCTATCTTCAAGCCTCTAATGGCTTTCTGCAAGACAGTATTCTCGATGAACTTCGCAAAGAAGGTCCACAGCATTAAGTCCAGCAAGCTCTCATCTTTCTTCATGCCCGGCTACGAAGAATACTTGCCAAGTGAACTCCCTGGTGGATGGAGAGATATCGAAGACGATGTCGATGACTATGTAGATCTCAAGAGCTACGAAGACGAGATGAAAACTCGTGAAGAGATTTCATGGCAAGAGTAAGACCTACGCCTACTCGTTCAGGATACACACGCCTCAATACTTTTGAGATCGCAGCGCTCAATTTTCCTTCTAAAGAACGGGGCGCCGGGAAATAGTAGAAAGGAAAGTCGGCTTGTTCTTACTACGTTACAATTCAATACACATGCACCATACATAGGCATCTAGAAAGATATTCAATTTATTCAATTGTATACTACCAGCTGCTTTTACTCTAGTCCTACCAGGTATTTAGCATAGATTTTGTGCAACAACTTTCGAAGTGCCGATTTCGACATTTTCCAGTTTTTCCGTCAAGTGGCATCTTTGGTGGCAAACTTTATCTCACACCCTTTTTCTTCGTTAAATACCGTGAGATATTGACCCATTCAACACAACGCCCGATCGACACGCTACGGCACCAATGATGGTTCTTCGGTGATTCTTTTAGACGACACTTATTTGCAAAATGCAATTTCGGACAAAATCTACATGTAGGAGTAGCCCAAAACCGAATCACTAGTTGAAATCGGTTCTGTCTACCAACCTACCCGTGCTAGGTACTTTAGTCTCCTCATCCTCAACGCGAACCTCAAACACGCATTTTGGATCACAAAGATCAGACTCTAATGGAGTTCAGAGTTTACATCTCATAATCTCATTTCCTCTCACCTCCGACTTCGGTACACAGCTTGACATCACAGCATCAAGATAAAAAACAATGACTGCACTAATGCCCAAAGCCTTCTCCTTGTCAAAGACCACTAAAAGGACGTCCACCAAACAGAGGGACATCTCTCCGACAAGAAGAACGTCGACATTCAGAACTGCCAAAGCATCCGTCGAGGTAAAGAGGCTTGTCAAGGAATCCATCGAGGCAGCAAGACTTCGAACGGAAAAAGACTGTGTCAAAGGTCTTCGATCCTATTGTGACGAGTCCAGCATTAAGATTTCGGATAGCCTGTTGTTTCGGTTTGCTTGCTTTCATGAATTTGATTTGCAAAATGCCCAGGAGGGCATTGCTCGGAGCCGCGATAACGAGCACTATCTCAACCTCAAGATGAACCCAGGTCTCCAAGAGTTCTTCCACCGCAGAATCCTCTATCCCCTCCCTGGTCTTGTCAAGACCAAGACAGGCGACAAGATGCAAGCCATCTACTTTCGCCCGTCTCGTTTCCGTGCGCAAGATCCAGCTCACCATAAATATGTCATCGAGAGCCTCCAGTACATTCTGAACGATTTGGACCGGTCTCATAAGGAAAGCCCAGCTGGTGTTGCTGTCATCATCAATCTCAAAGGATATTCCAACAAGAACTTTCATCCACATAGTATGGCCAAGTTCCTTGGGAGTTTCGAAGGCAAGTTGGTACCTACCAAGGTGGATCTATTGATCTTTGTGGACGCCCCCGATACCTTCAAGCCATTCATGACTTTCTGCAAGAACGTATTCTCGATGGACTTCTCCAGAAAGGTCCACAGCATCAAGTCCAGCAAGCTTTCATCCTTCTTCATGCCCGGCTACGAAGAATACTTTCCAAGTGAACTCTCCGGCGGATGGAGAGACATCGAAGACGATATCGATGACTACGTAGACCTCAAGAGCTACGAAGATGAGATGAGAACTCAAGAAGAGATTTCATGGCAAGAGTAAGACCGACGCCTACTCGTTCAGGCTACGCTACACACCACGCCCAACAATTTCAAATTTCAATGTCACAACGCTCAATTTTCCTTCCCAACAAGGTGGTATTAGGCTGGTAAAGAGGAAATTCGATTGTTGTATGATATGTATGAACCATAAGTATGTAACAAAAGTATTATTATTATTACATATTCATAATAGAAAGCACATGAACATCTTTTTTGAGTGGGTCGATCAAAGTATTCAAATCGCGGACATTTAACGGACAAATGGAGTTGACGCATTCAAAAATTCAAAATTGGCATTGCCGATGCGAGATTTCTGTTGTTGTTTGCATCACCCATTGATACCGGTGGATTTACAAGATTGGTCCAGACAATGAAGACAACGAAGACGCTGAAGGCTTTGAGCACACTTTCCTTTCTTTTGATTCCTGTGGCCTCGACCATAGTCGAAGAAGAAAAGTGGAATCAACACACAAACAAGCATGATGTCGTGGCAGCAATGAACAATGAAGAACTCTTCAGGCCTCATCGTCGGCTGAACGAACCTGTCAATGAATGCTTGGATGGTTCGGATTGGTTAAATTGGGGCAGTGTCTCCAATGGAATCAATCTTATTCGAAAATATTTTGAATGTGAATGCACAGGAGACTTGGCCAGTTTCTTCAGTATGAAATGCAGTTTGACCAACCTCTGCTTCTTTGAAAACGAGGATTCTGACGTCCTCAGTGATAGACGCGGCGTTTTGGAGAAGTGTGTGACAAGAATCGGGACCTATGACTTTCGTGTTGACCCTGACACTCGCATCATCTATGAATTGAGTCGACTTGCTGAGTCAGACGAATATATCTCCGGATTCAACGTGACAGGGACCATGGAGAATGTAAACTGGATCCCCTGTAGCAACAGTTTGGTGAGTGTGTATAATATGAGCCGGCAGGAAGCATATGGTACATGCAGCGATCGAGAAAGATGCCAATCGTTTTTGTCGAGTAAAGACTATACTGCGGAACAAATTGAATACATCTGCCCGGTTGCCAAGTTCAATGGAGTGGAGTGCCAAGGACTGAACCTAGCTGCATGTGCTGATTTTGATCCTATTTTTGGGATCCGGTATACCAGTATGCCAGATTGTAGCAACGTAATACCGTGCATGACATCGTCTTGTCAACCATACAAGCGGATCAACGCGGCTCCACAGCGAGGCCTGTTCCGTTACCCAGAGTGCGATGGAACAGACTCATTTGTAATCGAAGCTCCATCTATGGCACCAAGCTCGACACCCGCTATCCTTGTTCCGCCTACCATGGCCCCTGTTGCCAATGACATTTCGGATATCTCATCCCTTCCTCCGGCGACATTACCAAGCGAAACGACGACTGCTGACGAAAGTTCCGGGTACCTTTCATTCTCAAGATATCAATTGCTAACTTCTATTGCAGCAATGATTCTTCCATACTTCCAATAAATGTGGAGCTGAAAAGGATCAGAGTGATTATCGTGGTTGGACTGCTGTTGTAGTTATTACCATCAATACGACCCGCAATCTGGCCTGGTGGCTGATCCAGAATTTGAAGATTGTGGATTGAACTCGGTGTACTATCACAGACTATAGAAATGTACCTACGTAATGAATCCATTAAAAGCAAGGTTGGAATTACCATCGTTAGGTAGTATAATAATATTATATGGTTGGAATTCTAGCGGTTCTCCTGTGGGCTGTACCACTTTGAACTTGGTATTGCAGTTTTGAAAGGTTTAGTCGGAGTTGTCGAATTCCAACGTCATACAGTATATAATACAAGTACAACATCATCCCGCATATCCATTGAATACTGAACATATACTTTACGCCACTCTCTTTCTAACATTCCATTCCTTATTACCAACCACCGCCATGAGCCGTCGAATAGCGATTGAAAAAGTTGTTGCACGAGTCTTCGGTCATCCATTTCATGCCAATGGTGGAAATCCAGTTACCATATTTTTGCCTCAAAGTCCATTGCTTCCAAATACGCAAGAAGTTTTGGCCAAAGAATGTTCCTGGGAGAGTGTCATGGTGGAAACTCTCACCTCGGAGAAAAAAGTTAATCACAAAATGGCCTTCTTTATGCCTAGTGGATTGGAAGTTAGTTTTTGTGCACATGCTGCCATGGGTGGAGCAGTAGCAGCCGCTGCCCTACAATCGGAGGACAATCGGGCATCCCTTTCGTTTGCACCCAACTTATTGCCAGAGGAAGTTCATACCGTGGCCATTTCGCCCTCTGGAAGCGAAGCTACTTTGAAAATGAAAAATGTCGAATTTGAAAATTCTCCAGTGAGCCACAGTCCCTCGTTGCAACGACTATTGCGTGGACACTTGGGCATTTCTGGGGCTATGCTGGGAAAGAACCATCCAGCCTTGCCACCAACCTTTTGCAATGCTTCCGTAGTCCGACCGAAAACTATGGTGCATGTTAACGATATTGATGATCTACGAAATAAGGTACAAGTGCCACGGGTCAAGAAAACTGGGAGAAATACATTCGAATCGGCCTGTGGGGCGATTGACGAGTCCACTGGAATCTATTTGTATTCACATGTGCAAGATGACGAAACTACGAGTAGTTGGGAATGCCGTCAATTCCCTAGGGCTTCAGGCTACCCAGAAGATCCTGCAACTGGAATTGCTGCGGCTGCTCTTGCAGCTAGTATGGTGCAAACGTATTCGGGTGGAGGTATCCCACCAACTGATTTCAATTTTTATCAAGGAATGAGTATGGACCGACCATCATTGATTCAAGTTGTAGATCTTCAGCTACAAAGAAAGGGAGATTCATCTCTAGTGTCGCTTGGACTCAAGGGGAAAGTCGAAATCGATGAGCGGTCCACAATAGAAGTAGAGCAGGAAGAAGCTGCTTGAAAATGATAGCCTATTCATCCAATCACTGCTGTACAGTTTCAGACTAGGATTTTCAAGATTATTGACTTGAGTAAAGGATCATGACCATTCAATTGATAAAAGAACACATCTAATACTTTATCACTGGTATAGTGCTTGGAACACCACAGATAACATTCGAACATTTAGAACAGTGTTACATTAAGGTTTCCACAATCGGGTGGGCCCTCGCAAAGAGCTGCTGTTTCGCCGGAAGCACAGTCTCTAGTAGCGGTTCTGCGATACTGTCCATATATCCGTTGGGATCTTCGGCAACTTTGTTTGGCAGATGGACTGTCATTGGCTGATTCAGTATGCTGTATAGGGAATCCTCATGGGTGAATTGTGGCAACTTCACTGGTAGACTTTCCGGAAATTGTGTAGTTTGCTCCAAGTGCGCTGCCAACGCTGCAGCAAAACCTTGATCATAATATCCGGTGCTGCCTCGGGTGGACCTCACGGCAACCATCCCACGTCCTGCCATGGCCACGATCATATCCAATGTGGCTTGCTCTTCTCTCAATTTCTTTTGACGTTCTACCTCTTCGCTATCCCGACGAGATATGTTCAGAGGATCATCTTGTTGTAATTGTTGCTGCTTTTGTAGCTGGTCATTGGAAAGATGTTGAGAATCCGCAAAGCCCTCATCTATCAGGTCATCCGGTCCGACGGTTTCCAACGCCGACCCCTTGTTGGCTTCCGACTTTAGTCCCGAGCAGATTTGTCCCATTTTGATTCAATTGGATATTTAGATATGCAACAATAGATGTCTTGAAAAACAAGGGATTGTAGTGTGCAGTGTGCATGCGAGAAGGTCCAAGAACCAACAAACAGTCGACGACGGCACTATTGCAGCGATGACAATAATGTATCAGCAGGTGTTGTTTTGGAGTCTGGAGCCGAATCGATCTTCGACTGATGCGAATCCATATTTATCTCGCTCAACGAGTGAGTGAGGTCGGTCAGTCCGTCCGCTCGACATTTTGAAACTACGTGTGACATTACAAAAGTGACCAAAGTTGAAATGCTATGGTTATTTTTTTCGCATAGCGTTTCTGTGCCAATCACACAGTATTTCTTTTGGAATGGATACCAAGTATCTGCTGAGCAGTTTTGCTGTGCCAAACTGTGTCCCAGCAAATATCCTGTGGCGTTTTCCAAATTCATCATGGGAAACAAATCTCGCTCACAAAATCAGCATCGATCCAATCGAAAGAAGCCTCTATAACACCAAAAAGCTCAAACATGATTCCTGCTCCTCCACCAGTCTCTGTTGCCACCGTTGTCAAGTTCAACCTATTGATGGATGAGGGAGGTGACTTTGACGCTGCCGCCGCACTGTTGAATGATGATAAATTTGAGTTCATTACTCCCAAGAAGAGCTTCATGACCAAATCCGATTGGCTCCAAGGTTTTCCGGATGTGCACAAGGAGTCCCCCATTTTTGAGCCTCCTGCTCCTGGTTCTCATCCCCTACAAGTGCTCCGAGCTGGGAAGAAAAAGCTCGGGCCATTGACCATTTCTTTGGTCGAAACTTACGAACTCGATGAGGACGGAAAGATTGAAAAGATCTCAGTCGCTCGTGCCTAGTAACCATCATCTTGACTGCCTATAGTCATTTCGTGCATAAAAGAAAAAGCTAAGTTATATAGAAGCAATTTTGCTGGTCCCTTGGACAATAGCCGTGTAGATCTTCTGTAGTATCCTCCCCTGAGAGAGACCAGAGGTACCTTCTGTATGTATTGTGTGTGCAGTATAATTTTTTAAAGTACTGAAGGTTGTGATGCGATTTTGAGACTATTTATGTTCTCTATTTTCGTCCTTTGTTCCGTATTCGCTATTTCTCCATTATTCCATTTTCGCAAGAGTAAAAAATTTTGCTCGACGAACTCGCTCGTTGTCGGGATTGGAAAATTCTCGTAGACTGCTCGTAAAATCCGGCTTCCGCTTCCCTTGTGACCGTCATCTCACATGTAATTCAGCAAGCCAAAAACAAACAGCAGCGACTCTCTACTATTATTACAAGAAGCTCAAGATGTCCAAGAATACCAAAGCCGACATTGAAAAGCAAATGGCGACTCCTAACAAGAAACCAAAGAACATCAATACGGATGTTTCACCTGCAAAGACTGCTCCGCTGACACCTACCTCCCCTCACCATATCACCATTGATGTCGATCAAAGGCCACGATCAGCCGGAGTCTTTGCGGTTGCCGCCGGCATCAAAGGCAAGATTCTAGTAGTCGGAGGATTGGCCCTCATTGGCGCACTTGCATACTTTGGTCTCCAATGGTTTGAAAGTACCGAACTGGAAGCCCAGATTAAGAGACTTGAAGGCGAGGTACGCCCGAACACTGTTGTGCTTCTTTTATAATTGTCCAATCGAAACCTCACTAAACGTTCCTGTTTCATTCATGATCTTAGGTGAACCGTCTTCACACGGAAAACAACAGGTACGTCACTGGCAGTACCTTTGAGGCTTTTTTTATTGGATGCGCATGCAACTGATCTTGGCTAATAACGATTTGATTTTCTTTTGCTTCTTGAAACACATCAAAACAGATACGAAGTATTGAATAAGGAACTCAATATCACTGTGGACGAACTCAAAGACATTGGTGTTCAAATCAATGACACTGCAAATGAACTCGAGGAGACAAACCAAGCACTTGGCTTTGAAGTTGCCGAGTTGGAAGCCCAAAACCAAATCTTTGCCGGGCAAAATGAAAGATTATCCAAGACCACCAGTGACTTGAATCTCATTTCGGGGTTCATCAACGAAACGGCAGATGCTGTGAATGATACTTTTGACCAGATCATGGCATTGATCGAGCAACAAATTGTCCAAAATTCCGTTGTCCTAATGAATACACTCCAGAACACCTTTAGGGATATAAAGGATGGTTGGAACTGTGATTACAGGGGTGTGTTTGTAGGAAGAGCCTATGCCGTAAACAGCATGGCAGCGATCCCATCTACCGAGTTCGATGGCATGATGGACTACGTGTCTGAAAGAGTCCTTGACGAGCTTTGTTTGGACCGCACTGATTTCACAATGTTCCTGGGGCTCCCTGAATACAGACCTTTGAATACCAACAGACTGAATGCTGCGGTTACAATATACACGGAACGCGCAATTGATTGGTACTTTCCCGAAGACAATGAAACTGGATTGACCCAAGATGATTGGTTTGCCGCAGACTTCAAGTGCAAGAACTTGAACGCAACCCAAAGGTACAGGTATTAGTTCGTAAGAAGGCTGCTGCTGCAAGGAAGTCAAATTATATAATATATAGCGCGGCAAATCGAACCAAATGAAGAAAAAAAACTGCTGCAAGTAAATTAAAATACACGTGTACATTTATCTATCACGGGGATTGAATTGTCCTGTAGGCACAACACAACATTTTGAGTAGCTTAAAATTTAGAATATTGGAGTAGCTACAAGAACCAAAACATCATTTATCTCAACGCTACGATGGGGACGTGACAGCCAGAAGATTTATTCGTGAGGCATTCAGGCATGAATGTGTTAGGTAGGGACATCTTCAATCTAACTCTCCTCTCTTTCTTCTTTTCTCCCCTCTCCTTTGTTCGCTGGGATAATTCATTTGTCGACTCGTTCGAACAACTACAAACCCGGAAAATCAAAACCAAGAACAAGACCACCGCAAGACTGTTTTGATGACACCTGTATGATGGGACATATAGTAGTAGCAACAATCAAGTCATGACATCCAAAATAGAACAGATGATATTGACTTGCGTTGTCCTTCTCTCTTTGTCAGCAATGATATCTGCAGAGATCCTGGAGAATGACAGTTGCATAATTGGCAACGACAGAGGACAATTCTTTTCTCATTCCCCCGGCGAGATTGTGACACTCAATCCTCCTGTCTGTGGCTTTTCCGCTTGCGCTTGTAACCCCACTCAAGAAAATCAACTACTTTGCAGCTTTTGCTATGATTCGCGGCTCGATGATTGTTTGCTGAATGGCGAGAGCAAAACGTATCCAGACCAAAACCTTCACTGCACTTGTTCTTCCGATTCCATTGATTTTTCCTGCATGGAACTGGCTCCTCCCAACAAGAGCCCTACACAGAAACCGGATATTCAAATTCCCGCTGAAACCCCATGTGTCTTTGAAGATGCCTTTGGAAACAACGTGTTATTGGATACGTCAAATGTCAAGGGTCCATGCAGTGGCACCAAGTTCCCTTATGTCTGTAACGTTGAACGAAATCTGTTACTGTATCCCTATTGTCAGCACCGAACCATTACTGGAGCGACGATATGTGCCAAGAATGATGAATATGTTGTCTTTATCAATGAGCAAGGTGATAATACCCGATGCGATTGCTCCATTGATTCAAATACCCTTCAACCGTCAAGCGACTGCTATCCACAGTCTGATAGAACCCTGGCTCCCAGTCCCGCTGTACCGACACAGAGCTCGGATGCAACGACCATAATACCTCGGCTGAAAAGTATTGGGAACATCATATTGGTATTTGGGATACTTGGAGCATTGTGGACTTGAAAGCAAACTGCTGAAGCATACTGTACGATGACCATGTGACACATGCCAGATGGTATGATGGATTGCATACGGGGACTATCATGAAATCATGACTGCAAATCTACCTTCTCTACCAACTATGAACACACTCCTGTCAAAGCCCAAAAGCAGTGCCATTTGGACGCTCGATAACAATTGGTGGACGATTGGAAGGAGCGAGATCAAGCATAAAGGCACGACTATCATGATGGGAATGAAATGCAATCCCTCAATCAATAAAAGCCACTCTTATAGAGTTGCATGTGCATTGCTTAGACTAGAGTGACGAGCTCCTGTTAGACTATCGAAAAGCCCATTTCCGTGTGATGATGATTGAGGCTCCAAACAATAAAGCAGCGATCCATATCCCAGCCACGCTTTGATTCCAAATGAGATTACATGGCATGTAGAACAACAACTCTCTCAATATAATTAGTTATAGGTCAGCCAATGCTGTAAGGGCAAACCCAAATCCTGTAGCCGCGACCACAAGCCTCACATGATGCAAGTTGCAAAATCGACGAGTGGTCTCTGCCACGTCCGCTGGGTCAGACTTTCGCAATGTTTCAATGTCTTCCCCCAACACTATACCCGTGTAGGGTCCCACGAAACAGATCAAACCGGAGGTAATGGCAAATTTGATGTCTTTGGTTTGGTAGTAAGCAGTGAGATTGGAAATCGTACCTGCCAATAGCACAGGAACCATCAAATCACGGCCATACGGCCACCAAACTGGAAAGTGATCCTGAATCATTTTGGTACGATCTTCTTCAACGTGAGTTAAGAAGCTTCGGACGTCGACAAAGCTGACAAAGGTCAAACATCCAGTGGCAACTCCCGCGAACGCGGTTCCAAGAATGGCTGCCAATTTTCCAGAGAACATGGAAGTTTTCGGTGATATTTCGCTCCGAGGCTTCTCTCTATCTCTTGTAGTTATGTACACAATTCAACTTCACGTAGTGGACGGTTGGTGATGGATAGTACACGATCCAAGATCCACTGATGGAAATCTCATCCATGGATATAATAATGATGTGATGATGAGAACACTGCGAAATGAAATGAAATGAAATTTGGATCGATTCCCGTCGACTCAATCGATTGAAACGTTTCAGTTACAGCATATATACAATGTATATATACCTATTCATTGCGCATCGAAGCTACCGGTATATGTTTGTAGATTCATTTCATGCATCAAACCGCGGTCTACCAGTCTATACCAGTATCATGCGAGTACCTGGTACAGTATACAGTAGAGCCAAGTTCTGCTGATTCTTGGTAGAGAAGACTAGCTGATTGAATCAAAACCAATATTCCTACTATGTACTCATGGGTACTGGGTTTTGAAAATTTCGCTACTCAATCACATTGATTATACGCTTCTATCTTGCCATGGTACAATACTGTACTGCGAACAGCCAGCATGAAGACGTACCGGTACCCCAAAAGCAATGATGTACTGCATGGTACTATGTTGCGAAAATTTCATTAGTCAATCACAGCACGCTTCGTCGAAACGGAAGAAAAAATAGAAGAAAAAGGGACTCTCACACTTCTCGACAAATAGAGACACCTAATCATGGGCAAAAAAGGAAAGAAGAGCAAGAGGAAGGGACGCGGCTCTGTTGACGATAAGGTGCTCGACAAGTCCAGCAGGAGATCTCTTGCACAATGGGAAATTGGACAAAGAGTTATCATAAGTGGATTGAAACAAGCAACTCGATTCAATGGAAATACTGGAACCATCATTTCGGTGCCAACGAACTCGGGTTCCCGCTACGGCGTTTCTGTTGATGGACATAAGATTGCAGTTCTTCCATCCAATCTGGAATCCTCTACACCCGATCAGGAAATCTGTTATGGCCTTGAAGAACAATTGCGTGAAGAGAACGAAAAAACTAGTATGGATGCTGATTCTATGGCCGCAATGCGGATGATGATGAACATGTTCATGACAGAAGAGCACCAAATGAAGATTTATGGCCGAAAAATCAAACCATTGCCAGACTTTCTCGGTGAACTACGGGATGATGGCGGTGGATTGCCCAACGCTGTGAACTCCTACTGGGCCGATACATATCTCCGCACTGCCTTCGAACAGGATAGTAATATGCCGCACGTATTTGAATTGGGTTTGAAATCTCCAGATTACGAGCCAGAGCCTACCGATATTTTGAAGCGCCTGGGAACAAATCGTCCAGACAAGATCCGTTGGCTTCTTGGGCCAAGAAGGATCGGTGACATCTTTCCACATGAAGCGTATCCTTACACTTCACACATTCGCCACAGCTACAGCAACCAGGCATACCGGAAAGAAGTGCTTCATCTTGGTACAATCATGTCGCCGTGGGCTTTGTAGATCTTGGCATACTTCTCGAGGGCAATTTGCACGGTCCACCCAAAGTGGCAATGAACGGTCCCCTTTGCTTCTTGGGTATAGAAATGAGCCCATATGCTGTTGCCAAGACACTTGTGGTATGGGAAATGCTGCTCCAATCTCAGGAACAACACCATCTTAGATCTGTGATGCAAGTGTGGTTTAGTACAACGTGGGAAGAAGAAACTATGGAAATGGCAAAGCAAGCCCTCGCAAATCTTTGCCAATCTGACGAGAAGAGACACCCGAAGGTGACCGGTCTACTACGTCACTGGAAGGATGCTGGCAAGATGCCTCTGCAGAACGCCAGGACGCAATGGGAAAACAGATCGACAAATGAGCGCTCCTTCGTCTCCCATTTCCTGCGGAAGCAGGACAGGATTGCCATGGCAAAGTATGAGCTAACTGGCGATTTCGGCATAAAACCTGGCGGAAATCCCACTTGTGGCAATATTATCATGCTTGACTGTCCAGAAGGTACTGCCCCATTGTCGAGAGATGAAACCGTCTTCTCATGCTTGAATTGGGCAGCAATTGCATCTTCTCTTTACCCAAATACACCAGTCATTGAAACAGCCGAAAATTATGTCACGGAAAGGCTTTCAAAGGTTGCAGGCTGGGCGAGACTTGGAAGGGTCACTCTTAAGTTGGTCTGCGATGATGTTCAAAACATGATCGAGAGCATTGCTGCAAGCAAACCCTGGACAATGAGTTGGTCAAACGTTCTTGACTACATTGACTACGCGGATTTTCATCGGTTGGCCCGAGCGTGCTCGATTCATGGTGATACACTTCACTTTGGGTATTCGATGAATTGGCCGACGAATGTGTTTGGAGTCAATATCATTGATTTTCCAAGAAGGGATCTTGCTGATTTCCGCAAAAAGGTGTTGGAGAACGCCAATCACTGTGTCGAAATGCAGTACACAATGCTCGGTTGGCAGAAGTACTTGAGGTTGCCACCTCCCACAAATCCCATCAACACGACATGCTCCATGCTGGAAATGGGACAGTACAAGACTTGGGCCGACTACTTTTTTGGGATTGGTCGACTTCAGGGGCCATGCGAAGTGGGCAACGTTGAACATGCTTTCGGATCTCCATTGTCGCCAACTGGGTCTTGCACAGTGTCGTTTACTTGGACCTACGACCCAGAGATAAAGTTCAACGCAATGCCAAACAACTACTTCTAGAAGGTCACTCATTTGAAAAATGCTCCTTGGGTTGGACAGCCTGCACCGACCGCACAGTAGGGCTAAAGTACAATGCATTAGATTGCAGTTATCCGATATAGTATTGTTCTGTATTTATTATCGATAGACCCACCATGATACCTTGTGTTTGGATTGTGATGAAGAATCATCATATTCTTTAACAATTATTCGCTCTCGTTATTGTTCAACACTGTTCTTCACTATTTTCCTTGCCATCCAAGAAACGGCAAAACGTTCGATATTACAATCTCATCGCCGCAATTGATCCTACAGTTCCACCTGTCTGCTTCGTCCACAAGAAAACTGTCGTCCATCTGGCTCTTCCAAAGTGCTTGCTCCAAGAATGACAGAGATTTCTTGTGTTCGTATAGTTCCAAGGTAGACATGACCAATTCCACTTGACGTTTCCGCTCTAGACTTGTGGTTGGTGCTGTTGTTAATGTTGTTGCAACACTACTATCGGGAGTCATCATCTGACGGGCCGTGGATCGAACCAATTCTTGCCACGGTTCGTGACCCAACTCGTTCAATCGACTTTCAATCTTATGCAAGGTAAGATACTGAAGGGTTTCACATGAGTTGGGTCCACTCGCATGCATGGCAACGCCCATGAGTGCTTCCGTCGTGTCCAGTATGGAGCTTTGCAAATCGACGGCGCATTGTGCTTGGAGTAGCAGTTTCACAATTTCCGTGGGAGCATTGGTCCGACAAGCATGGGTGATTGGCAACGCTCCATGAAACTCATCCTTGGTAGTGACGGCATGAATGTCAAAACTGAGTAGGCGGATGCACACTTCCAGATTGCAATGTTGCGACAATGCAAACATGTGAAGCGGTGTCAATCCAAGGACATCCTGCAGATTGTGGTTGTTGTCTTCTCGATTTTTGAGTGTCGATAACATGGCTTCGTCCAAATCTTTTAGGATCGATGAAAGAGAGCGATGGGACATCATGGAACCAAAAGAGTAGACAATTTTGCCAATCGGATTCTTCTCAAATCGTTTCAACAGACCGGCCACCAAGACATCCTCGTCGCCCCAAAAGATTTTGAGCAAATGGTCACACTTTGAAAAGGCATTTCGTCCAATTTTGCTAATGGTGGAAGGAATGGCAATATTTGTTAGAAGCTTGCATCCCAAAAAGGCCGAGTCCCCAATGACTTTGATCTGTTCGGACAATTCCACAGATTCCAAACTCTCACATTGCGCAAACGCGAGCTTCTCGATGCGACGCACTCCAAAGGGAACGGCAATGGTCTTGAGAGAGACACATAATTTAAATGTCTCTTGTTCAATCGTATCTATGCTTTGTGGCAAGTCCACCAACACCAGATTGTCACATCCATAAAAGGAACTCTTGGAAATCTTGTGACAGGTGTCCGGTATGGAAACAAAGAGTACCGAAGAGCACCGGAGAAAGGCACTGTTACCAATACTCTTCAAATCAAAGGGAAGAATGATGGAAAGTAACTCGGAACAATAGGAAAATGCCTGTTCCCCAATGGTAGTCACCACAGGGGGGACCATCAAGTGTTGCAACGAGTTGCAGGAAGCAAAGGATTCTGCCGAAATCCGAGCCAGACCTTCTGGCAACTTGGAAAAGGAAAGAACCCGGCAATTGAAAAAGGCGCCTCGTCCAATCGTGGTCAAAGAAGGCGGGAATTCCACATGCCCCAGCATGTTACAGTCGCCAAAGGCATTGTTGTGAATAATCTTGAGGCAGCAGGATGATTCGCCATCGTTATAAAATTGGATGGTTTCCAAGTTGCGACAATCCAAAAAGGCGTACTCCTTGATTTCTCGTAGATAACGTGGGAAATCGATCTTGGTCAATGCTTGACACGACAAAAAGGCGCGGGCTTGAATGGTTTGCAAGAGTGCAGTTGGTGGAAACTGGATCGTCCGTAATTGTGCGAGCCCCGCAAAGGCTCCCTCATGGATGGACTTTACCGACGCTTCCACGTCGACAATGGTTGTTTCATCTGGTATGCTAGTGTTGCTGTTGATGCTGTTTTGCTTCGAATAGAGGAACCGGGTGGTAAGTGACATGACATGCTACTGCTGCTAATGATGATGCCTACCGGTACCGGTACGCAACAGTGGTACGCGTGACATGCATGCGATGATGACGATGATGATGTGGCTTTCGTGCATTGCGGCTTCGCAAACGATTTGGGAGAGAAATGATCCCCCAAGTACTGTCCCCCTTATTAATTCCAGATAGGCCTGAATTATAATAGTCAGTCGTGTGTGCGTCTGACAGGCCAATTGAAATAGGCTAGGCGCATGACGCAGAGGCCTGTTGGGCAGGCGTAGCATGCCAAGGCCATTCTTGGATGTTCATCTCGCCACACAAACAGGAAACCACTCGAGCATAAAATAATATCACCTCATCGTCAAGCACATCGAGTCTTTCACACAACCGACGGGGCATAACACATCATAAACAGAAATACTTCGTCATGAATACTGAGACAGATACTCTCCTACCACATCACCATCACCATCAACCACAGAATGATCAGCAGAACAACAATGATCACAACGACCAAAAGATGGGATATGGCGGAATCATTTCCCGAGTCCCACCAACTATCATAGAGGATGACGTCTCATCCAGCAGTACCAATAGCTCTCAAGAAGTCACAGTTACAGTTGCAGTCACTGCACAAACCCGACAAGGACGCTTACTATTGGCCATGACTCTCCTACTTCTCTACATTGGTTTGGTGATATCCCTACTCGCTGCCAACAATTTCAATCAGGAAACCGTCATTGAACGATTCTACTTTCTTCCATTTCACATGTACGAGTTTTGGGGATCCGTTTACTTTGCCTTGGTCGAAGGTTATATCTTGTTGGTGGCAGATGATTCGTTTTTCACCATGGATCCATCCAGTCAATCCACCTTGATTCACATGCTCAGCATCAATGTGGTCAGTACCATGACCGCTGCGTCCTTATTTACATTGAATCCAGCCATTTTTGAGGTGACCGCCCATTACATTGAATATTCATCCCAACTGACCGTCACATTGATTGATGCCTATTTCATGTTCCTACCGAGAAATGGATCAAAAGAGTTGCGGGATCGACGTAAGATGGGCGACAACGTACCTGTTTCGGTCCAACAGGGATACTTTGGTCTATTGCTCCTAGCAGATTTGGCCAAGTTTGCCCTGTACGCTGGATTCATCCCCACGGCGATTAGCAAGGAACGATCCTCTCATTACGTCGAGTTTACAGTGGAAATCCTCAACAGTCTATGGGCCTTTATGTACATTAAAGATCTCTACCTGCAATCCTTGCAATCCTCGTCGTGGCAGAAGAATGGTAATAACAGCAACAGCAACAGCAGCAGCAACAACAACAACAACAAGGGAGGAGGAGTGCTCATTCAGTAGATGGCAAGAAATTCACACACACAAGCAAAGACGGACAATGCCCATGCTAATGACTCACCAATCAAGAGTTCTACCGATAAGCCTACAATGCAACAAATTGGTTCATGCGTCTCTTATTGGAACCATTCACCGAGCCCCTCTATTCATAGTGGGTAGACGACAAGCAAAGAGCATACAGCAACTTTTGCGCTATTGAACTTTTGAGATTATGAAAACAATCAGAACCTTGAGTAAATGTATAGAATAGAAAAGTATAAATATATATGATGCTATCCTCGCAAATCTACAAAGATTGGCCTTATTGGTGGGATCCGAGTTACATTTTGAATCTCGATACATTCAACATTACAATCCATCCTATGACTATCGTTAGCATTAGTATCACTTTCATCTTGCGACCAAAATTCTTATTGTGCCTTGTTTGTCTTGAGGAACTCTGTGAACTCATCCTTGTATTCGGGATGCCAACGAGACAATGGCGGACGGTCTTGAGTGATATCTTGCATGGCCCAAGTCATTCGCAAATTATCAGTCTCTCGATCTACATCATTATCCGGACAGACAATGTAAAACAGACCCTTGTCAAGTTCTTCCAACATGAAATCAATCACTTGTTGTGGCATCCATGCTCCCGATGCTGGCTTGTCCTCGTGGAAGAATACAGTGGATGGATCGAAATCTTCTCCCTTTTCTAGCTTGTCTTTTCGGACCGACTTGAGCATGATGGAAGTATTCACCCATCCAGGAATGAGCAAGGCAGATCTCAAATGTTTCGAATCGTCATTGGATCTCAAATCGTGCTCCAAACCCTCCGTATAGCACTTGAGGGCAGCCTTGGACATGTTGTACGTAAGATTTCCTGGTGGCATGGTGATTCCTTGTTTGGATCCTGTATTGACAATGATTCCAGCTTGTTTGGACTCCTTCATCTTGGGAACAAACGCTAGACAACCATGAATGGGACCGTAGGTATTGATTCCCATGGTGAATGCGACTGTTTGCATGTCCGTCATGGCGTCACCCCCTTTTCCCACACCTGCATTGTTCATGAGAAAGTGACAATTTCCACCATCGGCGTAAACTTCTTCCGACAGCTTCATCATGGCATCGCAATCCGAAACATCCACCACACGACTTTCCACCTGAACAACAAATAATATCAATAAATGAACAATCAATATATGGTGTTAGAAGGTTCTCCAATCCCATTCCATTGTATAAAAAAAGAACATTCGACTCACCTTGGACCCATCCGTTGCCTTGGCCATTGCCAATTCCTTGGCTGTTTCCAATTCCGGAGCATCCACATCCACCATCCAGACTGTCATTCCCTTGCCCGCACAAAAGAGGGCCATAGAACGACCAATTCCAGAACTGGCTCCAGTAATGACAGCCGTATTTCCAGCCTTGAGCACAGTTGAAGTAGTAGCAATAGTAGAAGAAGACATTTTTCACCCTGGCTATTGTTGTTGCGACTGTAATAGGTATCGTATTATAATACCGGTAGAATGCAAACGAAGAATATGAGAATCCAAAAGTTGATGCATAAAATCAAATTGATTTGAAAATGGCCCGTCAGAGCTTTGACTTCATCGACTGACCCAAATAACACCTACCGGTATTGGAAAGAATGCGACAGTATTGTGACTGTGTCCCATTTTTCAATTACTTATGGGCAACTTTTTTGAATTTAAAACAATCAAGGTTGCCAGAGACCCACCAAGTCTCTGGCAACTGTTTACGACAACCAACGGTCTCAGATCCGCCTGCGTAAATAAATGCTCAAGAAACAATGTATTTTATAACGTTTGGGTTCACATGATGTCAGGATATTGAAATACGGTAGAACTGCTCGGCCGCGCGTGGGAGGCGCTTTTGCTTGTATGGTACACAGTTGACGTTTAACAGTCGCATAGCCAGAGGTCTCGAGTTCGAGTCTTGACTACCCCTGAGTGTTCTTCTGCCCATACAATACTCAATATCCCAATTCCTTTCCAAAGGTCAGGAATGTCATGTAGGTCTGTGGAAAATCACAGCAGTGGCAATGTACCCACGTACAGCCCCGAGAGCTACAGTATCACCTATAGGTATCAATGTCTAGTACAAACACCAACACTGATGGTGGTAGGTGTACGGTGGGAGGTCAGGATATTGATATACGGTAGAACTGCTCGGCCGCGCATGGGAGGCGCTTTTGCTTGTATGGTACACAGTTGACACATGAAAACCTGAGATGATGACTCTTGAGTGGCCCAGAGATACACGTACACGTGTACACGTGTACGTGTACAGGTCTCACATAATTGCCCAAACAAGCTGAAAAGTTGAGGCGGAGAAGACTCAGGGTTGGATTTTTTTGACTGGTGCCTTCGTCTCAAACAGTATAGATTAAAATCAAGTGCTCGCCTTCTGGTGCGAACAATGGCTACTACTACTAGTAGCTTCCAGGAACAACTGGAAAAGTTGGACAAGTAGGCTGAAGACTTGCAAAAGCAGCGTGACACTTTCATTGCCAAACGCCGCACTTTGGTGGAGGCCATATCCAAGGAACAAACACCGTGTGATGCCTTTGCGTCTCGGTCAGAACAGTTGGGTATGGAACATCCGGGATGGCAGTTGGATGGACCAGATTGGGACTACGGTGAAGAACGTGATGGAGACATGCAGCACAGCTTGCAAATTGCAAATTGTCCAGATGCGTCGTACAAGAAGCTCGATTTCCTGGAGGACCCCGATGGCCGCTATTGGGTTGGTTTCGATTTGTATGAAAAAGACGTAGATTTCGACACCTGTGGCTCTGTCGCGTATGTGTGTGGAGGTAGTTTTCGAGTACCCATTGAAAAGGCGGGCAAGAAAGAAAACGCATAGAAATTCCGATGCTATGATACTGGTATAAATCCAGAGTCACAGGTTTTTTAGGTTACTTTGAATGATATATAAGTAAAGAAATGATTGAATTGCATCTAATTGTTGCTTGCTGCTAATGTTGTTGTTACAGTGGTCCTCCTAGATGCTACGAAATGGGATCCAAACGGAGCATTTACAGATGTAGTTCCTGATCATGTTTGGCTAGTACAGACCACCCATGTTCGGCCTCAGATGAGTTCATTTGTAGGATGGCAAGTAATTTAGTTGCCTCTGGTCTTTTGCACGGAATCGATGATGCGGCCTTCGCAATAATTGCCTCTCAATGGAAATCATTTGATTCATTGATTCGATTGGTTGGCATGAGAGGCAGGATGCATCACAAGACGCACGACAATCAAGGATATAGAGCGGTTAGCAACATCAGCATTGGCCTTTATTGAGGATATAAGCTTGATGCCATTGAACTCGACTCGCTCTCATATTCTCTAGCAGCTGACACCTCACAACGGAGCTCATCCATTGCGAAGTACAGTAATACTATGGTCGAACAATAAAGCAAAAGTATGTACTCTACATGGTTTCTATAATCACGTCGCCCGTCGGGTTTGACTTCATCGACTGCATGAGAATAGTAGTCTTCATATTCGAAATGGCAAGGCACGTTTGAGGTGGCAACATCATGGTTATATATGTTTCCAAAAGACTCTATATTGACAGAAGAAAGGTGCCTTAGCGGTAAGCGAGGGTGCCAATCTTTCGATGAGCCACGACTTCGACACCTCAACAGTTTCAATCGACAACATACTTCGTCTGCAACAATTAGCACCGAGGTGATTGAAACTCACCTGGAGATAGAGCCAATAACTAAATTCCTTCCGTCTGAAGTCATTTCGACACTCATCTTTTTGGTTCTTTCCACGATCACTTGATTGTGGTGATATCAGATTCAGAAAAAAGTTTCTCTTCTTTCGTCTTCAGCTTCTGAATATGGGAATTCTTGATTGTAATCCAAGAAACAGGAATCAATCATTTGTCAGTCTTTGTCAGCTTGTAGTCCTAGTCAATCGCTGTATTCTATAAACTATATTATGTTTTACAACATCTAATAGCGTGACACCCGCTTGTAGGGACGACTTTAATTGAAAGGAGGACAGAGGACGCGTGCAACTCTTACAGTGCGCAGCACTGTGTTGAATGGAGTCGTCATCCCAGTTGTCGTGGGGGAAATTCAGCTCTCTGCTGGATTTCTTTGGATTTCAAAAGCCTTGAAAGGTGTCAACCGAGAGCAAACAATCTTAACATGTAGTAGTAGCCGTATCGTCATAAAATCTGTTCCACTTCCGTCCTCAAGTCCTTCCCAACTTCCAACCCCAAGTCCTACCTTAAGTCCTGAGGACAAGAAGCATCCTAGGAATACTATTCGCTTTGTGATTGAGCCGGTCGGTGGAAGAGCTGGGTGTGGTGGCACAGTAAAGCTTTCTGCTCGCAATCACAAAGTGGGGCTATTTGGGACATCGAAGAAGAGCCAAAGGTTTTGTAACACCAAAACTATATCTAGCGTAAGCGCATACGAAATCATCATCGCTGGTGGCCTAGATAACGTCAAACACCTGATTGAAATGGAATATAATGGCAACTCCCGCACCTGTTATTCATCCATGAGAGGGTTCTACGTTGCTTGAGGGGACAATCGATGACCTACCTACTCCGCCAGATAAATGCATCCAGGTTCGTCGAATGACAAAGGGCTTTTTGCGCTGCTCCAACCACGAAAGATATTACTTCAACATCCATGGGTACTACAAGGATTTGTCTGGAAGAGTGTCTATTCTAGACATCAACGTCAAGGATAATGGAGAAAGGTCGTGTGTTGACTTCTAGTAGGCCAACATCCAACTACGACTTTGGCAATCCGATAAAAGATTATTATCAGACGACACCAGTGGATTTTTATAGAGGATACAACAATGAATTCTTAAATTTTTTTCCTGGTACTGAGAGTATGATGCTTCTAGCTTTGACTATACTATTCGGATGAAGAGGAACGTAAAACAGTAAATTGTGGACCCGTCATTCTTCGCAGCATGAGAAGAATTCAGTTATCGGTCAGTCCGTCTATCAAGGATTGAGGAGTACCAGGTACTTCATGAGACCTTCACTCCTTATTGTAAATATAGAGTAGCATCGTAAAGAGCAACGGTGGAGATCACACATTGTAAAAGGCAGCCTATCGACAAGTGTCGGAGACTGGGGAACCTGCCAAAACTACATTCCTTACGTTGTATTTCACTCGACACTCATTGTTTTGGATTTTCCCCAAACCAGTTGATGTGGTTTGAGATGATTCGCAAATGTTTCTTTTGCTTCCGAATGAAGGGAAACCAATCATTTATCAGTCTCTGTCGGGTCTCTTATCATCTTCTAGTCAATCTTTTGGTTCTATGAGTTATATTATATTTTATGACATACAGTAGTGTGGCACTCAATTTTAGGGATGCGTCAATTTCTTGGACAGGCGGCGCATGGTGCAGCTCTGGCAGTAGTACGCAGCACTGTCTTGTTGAATGGAGTCATCCTAGCTTTACTAGAGTGTCGTTGTGGCTTAAAGCAAGCAATTAAGTTGACTTGACTTTCTTGCTGGATTTCTTCCGCTTTATAAAAACATCTTGCAGTGTCAGTTGTACCGTATCAATTGAGAACAAACAATCATGACATGTAGCAAAGGCGTTTCGGTTTCATCATCGCTTGTCCTTGAACATTGTATATCTGGATGCTGCTGCTGTCGAGTTGGATGAAATTGTGGTGGTGGCAGTCGATATTTCACTGCCTGGTCCGCTAGGCTTTTCTTGTTTCATGTCATAGAGCGCAAAGAAGTGTTCGAGTTGCTCTCGTGTCACTTCTTCCTTGAACTGTTCGTCGTCTTGCTGGGCACAACAAACTCCATCCATCATGCCAAAGAGGTTGGCCAAGGACGATCGGACTGAAAAATTGGAACTCATCTTATGTACGGTAGTTACCGGTGGTGTAGTTGAATGAATGAGTGAATGAGTGAATGAACGTATGTATGTGTCAACAAACCCTACTCTGTGTGCGTTTAGCCCTCTGGGTGTGCGTCGTATCGGAGAAATGAATTTGAAAGGTCATCTTTTTCGAGAAGTTCACGATGCGGCGTTTTGTTCACTAGGATGGATTTTTGAACTACGATTGAACATTCACGACTGATTGAATAAAATCAATCACTTGGCAAAACGCATGTCATGTGATTTATCAGTGGTATCGCTATGCACCAGACAGCGCCGGTGCGCCGGCTCTTGGGTTATGGTCCCCGCTTTGAATCGTGAGTGGCTTGGCCAGTTTTCATCGTTGGATTTCTACAGAAAAAACGGGACCAGACCCAGACACACTCAACGTGCGATATTTTTCGCTATCGCCATACACGTCTGACTGACTGCAAAACTCGAGAGACAAAAAATACCGGTCTTCACATCAAAAACAGGAAACAGAACTATTAATCGTTGCCTACTTCTATTATTAGTACCAATCAACGCTAACTGGCATTCACATACATCAACAGTCCCATAAAAACCTTGACACGACAAACCACACAATTAATTAATCTACACAACAAACAAGCAACCATGGACAGCGATGAGGAGATGAAGAAAGCCAAGATGGCTGCGGCAGAGATTTCCTTTTATCTTCAGAGTGACTTTGATGATGATACTTGCACGCTGGCAAGTCTCCAATCGGATATCAGTAAGATGTCACTGAAGAGTGCCCAACAACCGAGAGCCCAAAAACCTGGTGCCTTTTGGACTACCTATCACGGGGAGCAAGAAGCTTCCTCCTCTCACCACAATATTCCGGAGGAAACCAAGGAAGAGAATGATGACTATGACACTACACCTCCCAGAGGTTCTCGATTGTCCGCGCCTCAGCCAGCCGATCAAGACAACTTTACCAGCCGAAGGCGGCAAACGATTACCGAAGCCAGAAAAACGTGTCAACGGGTGGAACAGCTATTGGAAGCCGCCTCGGATGCTTTGGAGGGTACCAACCAGAGCAACAATGCTCAAGCAATGCCAGCAGGCTCCGCACACTCCACGGCTTCTGGACCCAGCACACCCCCCAGTACCAATCTCTATCAAGGGTTTGCGGCTGCTTCTGCTGCTGCATCACCTGCAGCAGTCTCTCCCAGAAAATCATCCAAGGATGAATCAATATCAAACAAGGAAGCCAAATCTTCTTCTCCAGTATCTCCTCCTCGAACCATGATGTTGAGCAAGGCACCCGCCCCAAGAATAATTTCTACCCGAACGCTCATGAGAGCTGCTGCTGCTAACAGTTCGATTCCTTCTACCAGAACCCTTTTGAGCAAGGAAGATCAGCAACAACGAAGGCCAGCCGAAGCAAAGGTGATTGAAACCCTTGCGGCACCGAGGCAATTCAACTCGTTTGTGTCGGAATCTTCGGCAGGATCGAGTACGATTGCGGCAGCACTGCCAACCGTACCCGTCCAACGGAATGTACCAGTCAATCGACCCATTGTTCCAACTACTCCTGGTGCCTTTTCGATTCCAGGAAGAAATGCTCCACCTACGGCTACAGTCCTTCATGTGGAAGAGATTGATCCAGAAGTGGAAGAAAATGAGGAAGAAGATGACGATGATGAATGGAATGAATTGGATCGAATATTAGATGTCGATGAGGAAGAATGGAATCGTTTGGACAAGCCCAACGAGTTGAAGAATCAAGTTGTGGAAGCCAACCTTGTGGTGGCTGCCCGTTTGGCTGCCGATGATGAAGACTCCATCCATGCTCAAGTTCGAAAGAGTATCCTAGAAAAGACCCCAAGAGCTGCTGTCGTTCACGTAGAACACGGTGGCGAAGCACAAAAGATGGAGGATCCGATTCGAGAGGCCATGCGAAGGGCCGAACTCGAACGCTACAAGCCTCGAGGTGTCAAGGAAAAGCTATTTGGAGATGGCAAGACGGCCATGCTCGATATTGGTACAGCTCCGGATGACTACATTCGCAAGCGTGTTACAATGCCATTCACGGTCAAGCAGAATGAAACTACCGGAAACTGGGTCTGTTCGGTCCAAACAAACCAAAAGGCATGGGAAAAGTGCCAACGAGGAGACAACTCGGCCAGTGCCAATCTTGATTTGATGCGATCGGTCAAGACCTTTTCGGCATCTACCGAAAAGGCTGCGCTCGAAGCTGGTTATGCCATGGCACCACCAGTCATGGAATCCTTTGATGAGAACCCCATTTGTTGCCTGTGCAAGACCAAGTTTGCAGTCTTTCGCCGACCACACCACTGCAAGAACTGCGGAGTCGTTGTCTGCTCTTCGTGTGCCTGCAGCTGGTCCAGTCGGCGAGTACCATCTACCTACAATACGGCCAAGAAGGAAAAGGTTATTGTCTGTCAAGCATGCGACTGGTTGGGGGACAATTTCCAAAAGGCAGTCATGAATGGTGATTTGCCACGGGCTCAGGCTTTGCACAAGACTGGAAATGTCAATCTGAGGCATCCGTATGGCGCGTGGACCAAGGGAGGAAAAGAAGTATTGTAAGTTTTGCGAGCAAGCATCATTTGCATCTGTTTTGCACTTGATGGACCATTTCTGACAATCGCGTTTCAATTTTTGTTCTCGCAGCAATCCCATTCATATGAGCATTCTTGGAGGCAATCTAGACCTTGTTCGATGGCTGATTGAAGAAAAGTGCTGTCCACTGAGACGCCGAGACAAAGCCAAGTCTCTTTTGTGCACTTCCAAGGGCCGATCACCAATTCGATTGGCACTCACCCTGGAAAATCCAGAAATCCTGAGGTTCCTGGTATCGGAGCAAGGCATGTCACTCGAAGCGGAAGATTTTCGTGGGGACTACAAACAGTTGTTGGTCCACCTCACAACCTTGCTACACACTGTGCCCGGGCCCATGCTGAGGCCAAAAGAAGAGTCTTCTGACAGATCCATTTCGATCGACCTGGACCACTTGAATGCTAGCCTCCCACAATTTGAACGGGCTGCAACTACTGAGGAAAGGACCATCAAGAAGAAAGAAGCTGAGTTCCGACGAGGATCATTTTGAAAAAGTTTTACTCCAAAGTATAATTTGGAACACAGATATATTTATAATTGTAAGCAATAGTGTTTCGTGATAAATCAATCTACTCGTACATTTTATGAAGGATCATCATCATCGTCCACTTGTCACCAAGGAGGTCTGGGCATCGTACGGATGGAGAAATTTCTGGTTTTGGTAAGCGGATCATCCCATTCTGTTTTGTGGTGTCTATCGTCACCGCACCACCGATCATACCAATACACATAATGTAGCATTGTATATACTGAACAGCGATATACTTTCTGTTCCCAATTCACAAGCGACAGTAGTGCACAACCTTACTCGCCATCGAGTGATTCAAAAGGTTTGTCGATGAAAAGGAGCCACGAGGAAGTCTCGGAAGATGTCTTTGTGTACCACGAAAACACAGACCTTTCCTCCATTCCAACAGATATAACCGGCCTGAGAATTGATGACTCTGTCAAGAAGATTCCACCCGACACGTTTGAAGGACGAGAACAATTGGTCAATGTGGAGTACCCAGAGGGATTGGAAGTCATTGGAGGTCAAGCTTTTCAAAATTGCACCCTTCTTGAGGAGCAACACTTTCCGTCGACTCTTGTCGAGATTGGTCCAGATGCCTTCAATGGTTGCTATGAGTTCAAAGTCGTGGGAAGCTTTCCAGTGAACCTTCAATGCGAAAAGCTACAAAGCATCGAAATCCTTACTGGCGCATCTTGCCTGAAGTCTGCGTTCGCCGCTTGTACAAGTTTGACACATGCTAGGCTTCCTCTTGGAATGGTGACGATATCTCCGCTTTTGTTTCGATATTGCAACTCGCTGTTTGATGTGAATGTACCTTCTTCGGTAATCGAGATTGGAGTTGGGGCATTCGATAGTTGCCAAAGCCTTGCATTGATCGAATTGCCCATCGGATTGAAGCTAGTTGGACACCGTGCTTTTTCCAGAACTGGATTGAAATGCTTTCATTTCCCTTCGACAGTGGAAGCTATAGGCAGCGACGTTCTATCGGATTGTGAAGAGCTCGAATCTGCAACGCTTCCATCCAAGCTAAAAGCTATCCCAAATGAAGCTTTCCAAGCCTGCTCCGCATTGAAAAATATCACCATTCCAATATCGGTTGTCACAATTGGAATTGGGGCTTTTGTAAACTCTGGGTTGACTCATTTAGACCTTTCAAAATGCAATTTGACTAAAATTGAAAGGGCGGCCCTTGCTTTCTGTTCTCAACTGAAGACCATACTTCTTCCACGAACAAATCTGGAATTCATTGATGAGGAGACCTTCAAAGGCTGTTCTTCCTTGACGCATCTGAGGATCCCGCCAACTGTCGATTGCATTGAAGGTGGTGCATTTGCTGATTGTACCTCGTTGCTGTCGGTGGAGGTGCCCGAAACGTTGGAGGACGTTACATTGATTGTCTATAATGAAGAAGAAGGCTACCTAGGTGGGTACAATCCTCTCGTCAACTTTTGTCTTCCTCCATCAGAAGCACTAGGTGATCTTGAAGATTACAACTTCATGAATGACATGAAGTTACGAGAAGCTGCGAATGATTGTCTAGATCTGGTCAACAAGCTGGAACATAGATTCGACGGTCTTCCACTCCACCGTGCTTGCTATTTTCAGAACTATCATACACTAGAAGATAATATTGATAGCATTCAGAACATTGTCAATGCCGATCCAGCTGCTTGCAGCATGTGGATTTCTGTGGGATGACTCCATTCCATTTCCTTGGCTTGTCTCACATGCCGTGCCTGCATATGTTTCAAGAGCTTCTTTCGGTATCCTCTGCAAATATTATGATGCGATCTCTCGACGTCTTTGGACGTACGCCGTTGGACTACTTATGCAAGAACCAGTTAAAAGCAGCAGCATGTGTGACGAAATCATTGGTTTATATAATCCTGGAGCCCCGTGTCCTATTCTTAGGATTGAATCACTGGAGAGACCAAATCATGTCAGGAGTGGAGAAGCTACAGGTTGCAGATACAACCTCGCTAGCCACCGAAGTCACTTCCGTTTGTCAGAAGCTCGCAGAATGCGAAAGGATTGAGGTTCTTTCGTTGCTTGAGGTGGCTGTATGGAAAATGAAAGTTGGGCAAGAAAAGGCAACAGAGGAGGACACTCACGAGAGCTGTCGAGTGAATTGTGGAGGCAGCACCGTGGTGACGAATGTGATGGGATTTGTGGATAGTGTCACCTTGCCGATCGCTTCTTGGGATGATTCTGGCTGGTTGTGATCAATTCGAAGAGATTCATGGATCGTGTTAGCTGCACTACTCCACGATGATTCAAACCTTGTCAATCACTTCTTGGGGATGATCTTAAAGGGCACGCTCTAAAGTATGCTTTTACTTGAGAAGCACTTGTATGATTATGCTGCCACACTGGGTAGATACAATGAAATATTCTCCACTGAATAGTGAAAGATGATTTGTAGTCGACACGACTGGATAAAAGAGCACACTGTCAGTAGTACAATGTGTAAATGCGAGACTGCACATGCCGCATACAGGTAGGACGAAGTTGTGCACACCATGGATGTGATGCTATGCCTACAAGAAGCAAATGTTTGGTCGATGTGAGACTATCGCAACTGTACATGACTACGCTGGGAGTGCCCAGCAGCAGAAGATGCATCGATAATTTTTTGCATTGAAGAATCATAGTTCTAACAGAGAAATAGGATTCATTACTGATTGATGAAGGTTCATTCGAGCGATAGACGCATCGTGTTGCTCAAAGGGTAAACATGAGATGAGTAAAGCTATTCACAACTCTTATGATGGTGGCGTATTCATACAGTTGGCGCTGACATTACCATCAGACTGGTCGAGCTTCAAGATGGCCTTCTGGCATCGATTTTCCTGAGACTGATCACAAATCATAGAAGCATAGAAAGAGCAAAAGCGAGACAGCGGAGGGATATTCTACCGGTAGTGGCAGAAGCAGACTCGTCACCTGGGCTCCCCCCAGAAGGCGTGATGTCGCTACTGCCGGCCATCACAGTAAAGGTATTTTGGTAAACACCAGATTCACCGGAATTGGATCCTTTCCAATTTGTTTCGTCTCCTATTCCAGAAATCAATTCAGATTTGCTTCCCGATGTAGGCCCAACATACTGATAGTTGTCAAGGTGACTCAAGACCGTGTTTATCTGCTCTAGTCCCGGTGGTAGCGCGCCATTGCTACTGCTAAAACCACTGCTGACCCAAGGGCCACTGAAGCTTAGAGCTGCAAGGAAGTTGTATGTAGATTCTGTCGGTTTACAGTAAACAGCAAGAGCGTCGCCCTGAGTTGAAAGAGCAAGGCTGCCACTCACGGCAGACCAGCTGCTGGAATACAGTAAAGTGGATTCATCCCCGAATCCAAAAATGCTGCCTTTTGGGATCCCACTGTCTGGTACAATCAACTACAAGAAATAGAGTTAGTGGAAGATCTCTAGTTCCGTTCGACAGTAGAGATTTCTTCTTACCTTGACGGTGCCTTCGGAACCTCGAAAGCCGTCGCTGGTCCAAGCATCATCAGTCAAGTACAGCTCTAGATTGGCAGGAAGATCCTGAAGCGCAACGAGGGCAATCTCATCTGGATCATCACTGTGAACACCAATGACTTGCACATCACCAGGTTTCAAACCGCGACAGTCTGATACGGTGTCAGAAGCAACAACAAATGAATTCTCAAACTTGAGTGGCTGTGCGTTGTCAAAACCACTCCAATACTCTTCGTTTGCAATTGCCGCTACAATGTCTGACTTCTTCCCATCTGCTGGACCAATATAGATGTAGTTATCGAAATGAGGCAGTGCAATGCTGGCATTTTCTAAGCCAGCTGGTAGACCGCTGTTGTTGCTGTCCGATTGAGTTGCGTCCCAAACATTGTTGGTTGTAGCAGCTCCCAAAAAATTGTATTTTCCTTCCGACGGCTGGCAATACACAATTACAGAGTCGCCTTGAGTGGAAAGGGCCAAGGCCCCGGTCTGTGTCCACGCCGTTGCCAGGAGGAGGTTTGAGTCTTCACCAAATCCGAAAATGGTCCCTGCCGAAAGCCCTCCTTGTGGAACAATAAGCTTTTGAATAAAGATGATTGATGTGAGTTTGGGTTGGATTTGGGTACAGCATTTCATTTTGTGTTCCTTACCTTTCCAGTTCCCTCCGAATCTCGGAATTCGATACCAGCCCACCCGTTGTCCGTCAGATAAATTTCCAATCCACCAGGGAGATCCACTAGTGTTACGAGGGCAACCTCGTCGGGACTGTCGCTGTGCACCCCAATGACTTGGATATCCCCAGCTACCAATGCACCACATGCCTCGGAATCCAACGGAGGAAGAGAGATCGTAGGGGAGGTAATAGGAGAAGCAGTAGGAGGAGGTGCATTTCCACCCAGGCTGCACTCGTAGCCATTGGATTGATTCGGTTGTGCCGCCTGTCCATACAATCTTTCAACGAGATCGGGAAAGTCCACAAAGATATTTCGGTTCCCTTGCCAACGCTCACAAACACGCCCATTTCGATTCCTTTCCACCTCATCCACCGGATCGGTTTGGTGCCATTCTATCAATTGCGACAAATACGCCAACTTGGTGTCCGAAACTTCCGTCGGGCAATCTGTCAACTCCAGATTTGGGTCTCCTCCAACACCCGAATACCGCAGTTCCATGTAGAACAATGCTCGGGCAATATCTCCACGCACCTCTGTAGGTGGAAGCCAAACCTCATTGTCCGTAGTCGTACTGTCGGACGCTTCGGAATGGGCAGGGCTTCGGCAGCTATCCAATGGTTCCACAATCCCACACGCCGCAAAATATTTGTTGCCCCGTGCCGAGTTGACATTGACATCTGCCGGTCGCAAATGATGGACGTCGGTAAAGTCAGCTCCGCTATAACCTACACCATGTGATTTGGGCCACAAGTGCTCCCGATTCCAGGCTCGGCTTTGACCAGACGGAGCCTCGCCTTGTGCCTCATGATCGGAATAAATCAGTTTGACAGTAGTCCCAGGTTGGCTACCTGGATCGAGGTCCATGAGCGCATCCCAAGTGTCTTCTCGACTACTTGTGTAAGGAAGAACGTTTCGATGAGTCGACTTCAAGAGATTGCTGATTTCCTGGCGACTAGGATTGTCAGAAAGGGAATCATAATAAACATCTCTGCCACATCCACTGTATACTGCCGCTGTTTGGGCAGCCACAAAGGTAACTGATTGAAGACAGATTGCGAAAGTCAAAGTCGTAGCAATGGCGAGCAAAGGGGGTGTAGTTTGTGTCATTTTGATATGAAAGATCTATGACAATGATCTCATGATCAAGATCTCGAATGCAATGGTGTGTGCTACGGTATGTGCACAGTGTTCCGTTCCGTATTCCGTTCCGAATGCCGATTGACGACTCGACTCCGGCGACTACAATAACCTGCGCCAAATTCAAAATATAAAAATACAATGGCTAAACATTTAGCACGCGTAATTCCCAAAATCAGAAGAATTACCGTCACCTACAAAAATCGGCACTCCAAAATTCTTCACAACACAAAAGCGGTTTCGATTTCTCAAGGATACCTCCAGCAAAGGCCACTTTTCACGAGCGAGCAAGCGATGTCAAGTGATTCGATCCGAGACCGGAAGGAGTACATGCTTTTGAACTCAACCTTTAAATTTCTTGCTAAAAACAACGAAGAGAGATTCTTTCGCAAAAGGATCCCAGAGTCCGATATTCAGTGCTGGCTGAATTATGTCGTTGATTCGATCAAAATGATGTCCATCAACGAAAGATGGATAAACACCGGAAGCTGGATGATCTTGATATTGAAATATTGTATCAATGTAGCATTCCAATGTCATTCAAGGTGGTTCCTGCTGCTTTGGCTTTTCAGTGCGACTTCTTTCAATTGTTGGTCACCTTCCTCAAGGCTCGGACAGAATACGGTCTACCCTCCCGGAAGTGAGTGAATCTGTTGCCAAGATTGTTGTGAATGCCTACACTGCAGCAACTAAGACATTCGACAATGACCTACTCACTTGTACTCATACACGTGGGTATATCTGTAAAGAAATATTTTCTTCTGTATGTATTGCACCTAGCTTTCACTCGTAGCTTAAGACGACCGTGATAAGAAGTCTGTCGTCCACTGCTCCCATTCTTTTGGAATACTCATGACAGTATAGTTTGTGACCTCTTCCTTGTCTCCATTGTAGATCTTGCCATGAAAGTTTTTCCCTTGTCCCCCTTCGACCATCCATGCGATCGTATCGGTGACATTTCGTGCGTCGGGAAAGACAGCTTGGGCAATTTCCACCAGTGGCCAATAGCAACCGCTGGATTCCTTTTCGATGGAGTTGTGTGGTTTTCCAACTTGGGCCAACATGACTGTGACACCAGATCCTTTCATATCTTGCAAACAATTCAAGAAGGAGATGGTACTGCAGGCGACGGTTTCAGACATTGACTTGTACCAACTGAAGTTTACACCTATGGGCGTGTCAATCAAGTCAGGTTCACGCCAAGTTGTTTCCGGGTTGACGTAGATGATGCGAGGTGCTTTGTTTCCCTCTAACATTTTTTTCAGCGTTTTTGTCAATATGTATCGTGCCATGTAGTTCACCATGAAAGATGATTCAAGGTCGTCGTCATTAGTTTGTCGCGAAAAGGGCCAAATACATGCATTGTGTATCAGAGTATTCAGTTTGGGTATTTGCTGTTGCACATTTTCCGCAAGCTTATAGACATCAGCAATGGTGCTGAGTTTTCCAATAATGTAGCCAAGTTTGGAATTCCCACTTTCTAGACGAAGCTCTTCTGATGCTTTCGTGGCTTCTTCTTCAGATGAAGCGACGAAGAAAACTTGATGGCCCTTCAACAGGAGTTCCAGAGCCAATGGTTTCCCTGTACCCATTAGCCCTTCAGTAACTAGTACTACTCGAGAGTCAAATCGGGCCTCTGCGGGCACTTTGCTGTTGAGGTAGTCCAAAATCTCGAATTGAAGGCTAGCACGAGCAATTTCAATGGTGGTATCATCCGTAAGCTCTTCCATCAATCCTGGATTGGCACCTCCCTCTTCGACGAGAACCTTGACAATCTCCAAGTTCCCATTCTTGATAGCTTCGTGAATAGGAGCTGTAAAGTACTCGGGATGCTGCCAGTTGGGGTCGACGCCACCGGCTAGGTGATAGCGAGTTTTGGCAAGATCACCCTCTTCCGCAGCCTTGAACAAGTCTTTCCAGTTTCCTCCTTCTGGCATGGCAAAATGTGGGTTTAATGTGTATTGTATAGATTAGATTGTGATCCTGATTCACGTTGCTTTGCATTAATTTGTGGTATTCTGACTAAAGAATGTTGCGATTGATGTCAATGCTTGTCAGAATCTTATGGCAGGTCATCATCATTACTCAAATCGCATCCTTTTCACGCCCCCTTAGTGCTATATTATGGGGACCTATTAAGGGGTATCTCCCTTAATTTCCCTGTCACGACTGAAGAAGAACATGAGAGAAGGGTTTTGTGAAAACCTCGTGCCAAAAATATCACAACCCATGAGGTCATGAAAATAGTCTCATAATTTTGAATTTCGGCTCAGTACAATGTCACGGCACAACATTTCACACGAAACCATCATTGAGGCGCCCATCGACCTTGTCTGGAAAGAACTGATAGCGATCGATGATTGGGAGTGGAATCGTTGGACAAGGCTCAAGGCAACCGAGCCAGTGGAAGGAACTTCTGGAAAGTTGATGGCATCGTACGAAGGAGACGACAAGTGGCAAGAGTTTGATTTTACATTTGGTCCAGTCAATGAATCTTCCCATATTTTGACTTGGCAAGGTTCAGTTGCCGGTGGCTGTTTGTTTTCTGGTTATCACACGATGCAACTAGAATCAGTCAAGGAAGGGCAAACAAAGCTGATTCATAAAGAACAGTTTGGTGGCCTCTTGCCAATGATTGGGGCAGGGTTGCCATACAAAACTCTCAATCGAAACTATTTATTGATGAATGAATCGCTGAAAGACAATGTGGAGAAGAAAGCAAAAAACAAAACTTGAGAATTAACTCCTCTTAACCCATCAAACTACTCGTTGTTTTCATCAATAGGTCAACTTTTGCGGATGCACCCCATTCTCGGTAGAATCTAATCGCCTCGTGCAATCGATAGTTGTATTCTTCATCATCATTCAGGTCTTCTTTTACGAAATCACCATAGCGCTCATTGATCAGTGCAGCATGGTGCAAATTCCCGTTGCGAGCTGCCAACCGGATGGATTCGACAAAGAGCTTTTTCGCCGAATCGTACTTGCGCCGGAGTGCTTCGTCTTCGGCTTTTAGGAAGATCCAATAGTGCTCGACATTTGGATTTCCCTTGTCTCTCCAGATGCCTACAGTTTTCAGAATCTGACGGGCTCGACGTTTGTACTTTCCTTGCTTTGTCTTTCGAGCCATGGCAAACAGTGCAATGCCTCGGTGAAATGTCTCCATCATGCACAAGAAGAAACCAGGAAAGGCTTTGCTAAATGATTCATCACATTCAACAGATAGATCTGCAGCTCCCGCGTAGTCCCCAAAGAATAGAAGTAATTCCAACTTGGCAAGATTGTGCAAGGCATCGTGCAGCGGCGTCTTTCGGACGAATTTGACGGAGTTGTAAGCCTCGCCATGAAGTGTTTTCGTGGAATTAGAGTTTCCAGTCAGGTTTAGAATGACTTGCCAAAACATTCGTAAGAAGGTATCTTGGTCATGCTGCTTGAGTTCTTCTGTTTGCGTGGCACAGGTTGCGCACTTGGCTAGTATTCTTCCGAGCGGTTTGCCAAGATGAAAACTCAAAAATATCCGCCGCATGATGGAAGCCCACATAGCATACTCAGAATTGCCTGTTCTCATACCTGATGTGTATGCATTCGCAAAAGGAGCGAAGCAATTTTCTAGATGCTTTGTCCACGGAAGAACATGGTTGTAGCAAGAGAATAGCTGTGACAAAAGAGATGAGATGACGAAAGTGCATGTCGAGTGGTATCAATTTAATTTCACTCCGATCCATTTATCGTTCTTACCGTGTTGGCTTCAAAATGATCCCCCTTGTCTAAATCCTGGATTGCCAGTGCAGTCTCGGCGAAGAAAGCTGCAGTTTGGTAATCATGAAGCAGCGCCACTGTCACTAGGCCCAAGTGGGCATAGGCAGGACCAGCCAACATGCTGACACCGTGTTCCAGGGTAATCTGAATCATACGAGTGGTGGATTGGATAAGGAGCAAGTTGTTCTTGGAAAGATAGCTGGCATACAACAGTCGAAAAAGAAATTGCATGGTTGCCTCTTGCTTAGGATCCTCCATCATCGTTGGTGATTCAAAGGTCGAAATGGGGGTATTCTTTGCATTGCGCACGGTTCGACGGAATATCGTAATCGTCTTGGTAGTGTGGAGCGGCCCTTTGGCAGCAAGATCCACTCCGAGTTCCTCCAGAACGGTCAAGCAAAATTGAATGGTATCTTTGTATTTCATGTCAATATTCGATAGCTTGTGGAAGCTCGCCGTGTACACTGGCACTTTGTCCAGAGTGGAACAGGATTCTTGTGACAAGACCTCCTTGCTGTACTTCTTCATCTTCTCCACTCGACCCAAGGCGAGCTCTGTCTCTGTCCCAATTGTATACAGTCGAAGAGTAAGGTCCCTTTGGCTTTCCCATTTATCCTTTGGTAGTGTATCAAGCCCTGCAGAAACGTATTTGGACTGCGAAATAATGGCGACAAACAACGAAACATTAGCGGTAGGCTTCAGAGGTGTGTCAAGCAGAAGCAGAAGATCAACAACTTACAGCACTATGGAAGGCGGCAATCCCTTGCGCTTTTTCCGCGGCATGGAGGTTTAGAGCTGCAAAATCTGATCTCTGGACTTTACCCTTGTTGATTAGATTGGCCACAGCAAAGACATTTTCGTCGAGCTCCTCTCCGTCCAGACATTCGAAGAGCACCAGCCCGACTTCATACTGAAAGGCAGAGCCTCGAGCATCGCCTAGCAAAAGTGCGGCTTCTTGCACCCTATCGTGTACCCACCTATATGATTTCTGCCCACACTGTTCAATAAAGTCCTTTTCGGCTAGTACTGCAAGCATTGCTGACACGTCTTGTGCCTTCAGATGTCCCGAATCCCTGCGGGCATGCTGATTCCATATTATATCGACGGTATTAATGGGAAAGGTGGAACCCAAGCATGCAATATATTGGAGGAGAAGCTGATAACTCCGAGAAAGCTTCTCCATTCGGGCTTGCAACAAGTGAACAACGTTGGAAGTCGACATTGTTTCCTTCTCGACCTTCTCGGAATCCCATGTCCACACCATGAGTCCAAGGCTAACTGAAAACACAAACAAGCATATAGCGGTGTGAGTGACAGGTAATATATTTGCAGGAAATGATCATTACTATCAGATCGTGATAATACGTACAGGTGATAAGTCCTTCCTCTTCGAGCATGGTCACAAATTCAATCAAGAAATAGGGATTCCCATTGGTCCTCTTGAAGCAAATCTCGGATAGCTTTTGAGCTCGTCGTTCGTTGTCAATCGACAAGATGGACGTAACAATCTGCTTGACCTCATTCAGCTCGAAACTGTGCAGATTAATGTTTGTCATGTTGAATCCATACCGTTGTTGCTTTGTTGACAGATCGTAAATCGCCTGTGACAACATGTGCTTCTCGTTGACTTCATTCGATCGGTAGCATCCAATAATCATAAGTGCATTTGAATTTCTCATGTCGGAAACGAGGTACTGAAGAACTTCCAGGGACCCCGCGTCCACCCATTGTAGGTCATCAAATACCATTACCATGGGTGAGAAGAAAGCATTCATCACTCGCGTTAGCACTCGAAAGACATATTTCCACCTCTCGTGTTCGGCATCCCAATCAAAATTTTGAACATCATAGCTATCCCCGTCATCAGGCGGTGGAACAATGTTATCAAACTCTGGGACTAATGTTGACAAGAGCTTGACTTCGGATCCCAATTCCGAAATTATTGTTTCACCAATAGAACGAATCAATTCCCCCCCTTTGTCCTCTTGTTGACGTATTTGGATCGTCAAAAAGAGTTCCCCAAATACTTTGGCAATGCCAGCATAAGGTTCGTCTGATGAAAAATCAAACTTCCCCCTCAAGAATATCCCATGCTGCATATCTGTTACTTCTTTGTCCAAGGTGTAAGCCAAGGTACTCTTCCCCACCCCCGAGTAGCCCTGAATAAATATTAATTCCTTCTGTCTGGATGACGATGATGCAAACTCATCTGCATCACTGTTGTTATCATTATCGTCATTTGCATTTGTCATGCGTGACAAGCACGATTGCAAGAGCTTGATTTCCTCTTCCCTCCCCACCAAGCCCACAGAATCCGGTTGTAATTTGTTTATCGTCAATGCCATAATATTCTCATTATTCCTCAAATCATCCGAATGGTTCACAAGACGATTCCTTAGTTCACTGGTCAACGAAGAAACCCGCTTGGCATATCGTCGTGCCGCCTTCTTGTAGTCGGTAGGTGAGGCACGATGATGCCCACTCTTCGACACCAAAGGAGCCTCGAACATTTCGGATTCTCCAGCGCAGTCGAGACTGTTGAGCGATAGCCGCTGATCATTATCATCAATCTTGAGTTCACCACCATCGCTAATAATACTTTCATCAAACGAGGACGATGAGTCGTCCATGTTGCATACTGTAATGGCTGGTATTAAAATTTTGTGCAAGCGAAATATAAAGCGCTACTATGTGGTTGTAAAAATTGATCACCGCTGGAGCATGCATTCGTAGGAATCAATCGGCTTGGTCGACAGCAGGATTGACGCCAAAGAAGCGTGACCGACTCGCGCATGCTCCACATTTTCAAAACGTGAGATCTTTTGGTGATCGAGCAAAACACGAACAAATTGAAATCAAAGAAGCATCAAACACTTCTCACACTTCTCTCAACGCATATCCCATATCTATTCTATCATGGCTACTACTGACGCAGGAGTTTTCAACCTATCTTCCCTTTTGAATAACTTGGACGGACCTGGTGAAGACAATGAGGAAAAGAAGGATCTTTTCGAATTTGTCCGAACCTTGATGCAAAGTCTAGCAACGGACGATCCTCAAATCTACAACAAGGCAAAGGTCATGATGGACGAAGAAGTGCAAAAGAATTTCAGCAGTTTTGAAGAGGCAAAGTCAACATTCTTGGCTCGCATCAAGGAAATTGCCGGCGACGAACACTGGAAAAAGGCTTGCGATGAATGTGGAGTGGAAGAGAAGTAAAGATTTTGTCGAAGCCAAGGATTTCGACACGTGCATACTACCGTATATAGCAATCTAAACAAGATTCAATGAAGATACAGACAATAGTACATTTCGTTAATCTGTGGAATTACTCTCGTCACCAAGAAGAACCATTCATTGACGATTGCGTCACTACTGTATTGAAATAATGTACTTTGGTCCATTCCACCATGAATTTCGTCCTTCTCAAGGGAATAGTCGCTATTAGTACCTTGGTCAAAGGAGAAATCATGCGAGCCCAGTACCATTGAGAATGAGGAGTCAAATGAAGCAAGACAGTCGCGATGTCGCGATCCATTATCAACCTATGCTTGCACAATGATCTTTTGCCACCTCGATACCATGATCCTCTCATCGATATCATTGTATAGTTCGGTTGCAGTTGTGGACGTAATGATGGAGGAACCGTACTGTGGCTGGATTCTTGATGTAATGAAAGTTGATAGTCTCTGGAGAACAACAGTCTTTTCCTGACAATACTCCCCACTCCTTGTTGTATTTCCTGTACCAGGGAATTTTTCCTTTGTAGATGTACAGCAGTTGTGGGCCGAAATGATGAAATCTCTCCCGAAGTTGCTCGTCTCGGGTGTCCGTATAAGTGATATTGCAAGCATGTTTTAGGCATCGGCCCGTGAGGACGTCCTCTTGCGCTGACGCTTTCCAAGGCATGCAGCGAGAGTCTATCCTGTGATCGACTAAACACTGGAGCGACGGTCGACTAAGCGCATAGCCCGCACCCCCCGTATTGAACCCGACTTCATCAAATTTGAAGCGTCTCCCTATGTAGTGAGCTTCGCTGGAATTGAACCTTGCCAAATAGTTCTTCAAGTTTTGTGGAAAGGCTACCAAATCATCACCACCAATGTAGAACCAATCAAATTGCGATATGTAGTGTTGCCCCACAAACATATTCATGCTTATAACCTTTTGCCACATGTTACCGTACTTTTCTCGCCCCATGTGGTTTACACTGATTGCGGGTATCCGAGGATCGGACTTTGTTGAAAAGGCAAGGAAACCATCGCAACCCGGAGCCCAGGTTTCCCGCATCACTCGAATGGCAGTGTGATGCTTCTTTTCCATGGTATAGATCATGCACAAAACTCTGTTCCCTTCTGGTTCTGACCTTCTTGGCATGGGGGGCGCTGTGATCGGTACCACGTCCAACAGCTCCTTGCTCGATGTATTTCCCATTAACTGGCACAACTCGTCGTCTAAAGGTGGTGGCCATGGATTCCCATTGGCATCGTATCCATCCAAATACATCCGGCGCAACATGGTGACATCCGGAATCCAATCCTTCCCAGGATCGATGGAGGAGATGTTGGGTACATCCGCATAAAATTCCTCCCAAGAATCCCGACAATACTTGCACGTGTGATCGTTCACCTTGCATTCTTCCCAGGAACAATCCATGGCATGTGGTTCTGGTTGCCAGCCATACCACGGGTTCACAACAGCATACGTGCCATTGAGATAATAGATATTGTTCGCGGAGTTGTTGCTTTGGATGCTCCTAGTACTAGCGTGATGTGGCGGCGATGGCGATGATGATGATGATGATGATGATGCCGTGGTGGTCGTGTATTCAGATGAATTTGTTTCCGTGAAATCCTCTCTGTTCTCCAAAAGACTTTGGTTGTTAGCAAGATATGATGCCATCGATGACGTGTTGGTGTGGTCAGCTGGATTCAGAGTTGTAGTATACTCTTTGCCGTCGAAAAGGTTTGGGTATGCAGCATTTGCTGATGATGCTGATGAGGATAACGATGATGACGCGTTGGTGTATTCAGATACATTATACAACACCCGGATGTTGACTTTGTGCTGCGAAGAATTATCATGCAGTGTTGATTCTAGCTTTGAATCAGATGCAGATATGTCATGTGATGTTTCCCGTTTTGAAGCACCGTAACCATTCAACTTTCGGGAATTGCCAAAAAAGTAGAGACCGACAAGGCAGCAGAGCCCCAAATATCCAAATAGACCTTTTCGAACCATCCGTTTGTTCGGCAGATCAAATGGACAAAAGGCCTGCAGTGGAATGAGTATATTCTACTGCATTCACTGCTTTGTCATTCCTGCAGTATCGTCCTTTAGTTTTATGTCAGGGAATAAAAGGATCGCAGCCGAATTTTCACACCATTGCGGGTCATTTCGAAAGGTACTACACTAGTGTTTGGAGTCCTGTTCTTCCATCGTACGGCAAGACCAACTGATTGCCAATGATCCACCATGATCTTTATCTGTCACAAAATTCCGACAAACCGTAAATTGCACACAGGACAGTATATCGATCCTTTTTATCACCTACAGTACTTGACAATAATGCTGTGATGACGGACTCCGTCATCTTCTTCATGTTTCTATTTCTCTTATCATCAAGGTGCATCATAAATGTCAAGTCGTTTTCATCGGAATCACATTATGCCAGAGCAGCCATTCGACACCACCTGAGTATTATTACTACTACTACTACTACTAGTAGTAGTAGTAGTAGTAGTAGTAGTAGCCACACGGCTCGTTTCGCTTCGTTGCAATCCAGAGATGATACAGAGGAAGAAGACCAAACGCTGAGCGAGAAACAAAAAGAGGCTCTCGAATTGATCCAAAGAGGAGAGAATGTCTTTATTACTGGAGTCGCTGGAACTGGGAAATCGTTGCTCCTTCGACGAGCCTTGCAATATTTGAACACCTACTACAACCCAAAACAATACGTCGCGGTGGGCCCGACTGGTCCGACGGCCATTGCGTTGGAAGGACAGACAATTCATAGCTTTGCAGGCATTGGCATACCCCGAACCATGGATGATTTTAAGAAGGTAAAGAGAAAACGAAAGCAATGGAAAGATCTCAAGGCTATGGTATTGGATGAAGCGTCCATGGTATCGGGAGAGTTCTTTGATCTGCTGTCCAACGCAGTCAGTGAGATTCGGCAAGATCCAAGACCCTTTGGTGGGATTCAATTGATTATTTGTGGTGACTTTCTTCAACTATCCCCCATTGCCCCTCGCAGGGCGGATATGGAGAATATGGTCGTAGCACTTCAAGAAAAGGAGGGATTGGCGGAAGAAGATGCCATTGAAATATTATTCAGGAATAGAGGCTTCTGCTTCCAATCGTACAATTGGCAAAAGGCGAACTTTCAGGTAGTGGAATTGGACCAAGTCTTTCGGCAACAGAACAAACAATTCATTGATGTCTTGCAAGACATTCGCCGGGCACAGATTTCTCCAGCCACGACGGAATTTTTGAGAAAAAATTGCCAACGACCCTTGCCACCGAACGAATTTGGGATCCGTCCAACGATCTTGCACTCCAAAAATAAAGATGTTTTGAGGGATAACCTGATCGAGCTGAACGAGCTGAAAGGAGACACGGTCGAGTTCCAAGCCAAGGATGATATTATCAAGGAAAAGGGAGCACCAAAATGGGCTGAGAATCAGCTTTGGAAGAGCCAATTCTTTACCAACTGTATCGCTGAAGAAAAGCTTCAGCTGAAGATTGGCGCGCAAGTCATGCTCATCAAGAACGAAGGACAAGGAAAGAAACAGTTGGTGAACGGATCGAGAGGAAAAATCGTTGGCTTTCGCAAGCCGCCTCCATCAATCAAACCAGCGGAAGCAGCACTACTTCTACCTGGCGTCGAAAAGTATCCTGTAGTCCAATTCATCAGCGGTGTCAAAAAGATCATCCTACCGACCTCGTTTGAATCGAGATTGATTGGGATTGGAAGCTGCACAAGAATTGCCATTCCGCTCAAGCTAGCTTGGGCAATTACAACCCACAAGGCACAAGGTCTCACTCTTGATTATGTCATTGCCGATCTTGGTGAGGTCTTTGCAGAGGCTCAGACATATGTTGCCCTAAGTCGTGCATCTGACGAAGCAGGCTTGGAATTGCGCAATTTCTCGCCGAATCGAGTCAAGGCAAATAGGATAGCCTTGTCCTTCTATCAAGATCCAAATCAGGAATTCGAAATGTGGAACGGAAAGATGGCGCCGCCGATGTCATCACAGGACCAAGCGCGTACAGCTCCGGCACCTGTTATTCAACCACCTCAAAACGAACGAAAATCCTTCGAGTTATGGGAAGACGAGGAGATGGCACAGCTTGTAGCCGGACAAAACCCAAAGCCAGCCAAATCATCACCCAAGCCATCGACGAGTGTTAACCGTGTGCATGCACCAAAGGAACGACAGCAGTATCCGCACCCCGACTTGGACCGCCTTCCACTTGTGCAACCGCATGTGAGTTTGCGTGTGAAGAATGAGCGTGGTCGTAAGATCATGACCATTTCGGAGTCACCGAGAGACCAAGCAACCGTTACAGTCATGTCCGAACAAGCTTCTGTCCCGTCATCGCCACCACCGTCGCCGCCACCACCGCCACCACTAGAGCCACATGCAGAGCCCGAAGAACAATCATCATCCGTTTCATTTGAGGGGAAACTTGTTGTCTTCTCTGGTGTCCTCCGCTTTATGAATAGAGAGAAAGCTGAAAATCTCGTTCGGGAAAACGGGGGCATTGTACGGAAAGCTGTTAGCAGCAAGATTGATTACATGGTAACCGGCAACAAGCTAGGGAACGGCAAGCCCATAACAGAAGGTGCTGACTACAAGAAAGCAAAAGCAATCACTGCTAAGACGATACAAATCATCGCCGAAGACGATTTCTATGATTTGGTTAAGCACAATCTTTAACTTTTGTTTTACTCTGTAGACTTTCCTCAGAAGTTCAACATGGTACAGTAAATTCCAGGTTTGGGAAAACAGGTACTAGTCTAGCCCTTTATCCGCCCTTCTCCGATATGATGAAAATGAATATTGCAGTGAACTTGAAACTATCGTCATCATCTTTGACATCAATGAATGAAAGACATGATGATAATAGTGAAGCTCTTTTGTCTTCTATTACTTCTTGCTTGGGATGTATGTGCCACAACTGAGCAAGATGTCAATAACATGGCATTGGACGGAGGCACTGTTCAAATGCAATACCTACATGACGATGGAAAAACCATAAGATCGGTGTCGTGCCCTCGCTACTTTTTCACGCTTTCTACCGCCAATGTTCAAGCCGAGATCAAGTATAAGCTATATCACAGTAGGTGGAGTGATCGTGTCATATTGGACCTGATGTACCATGGTCTCCGATACGGGGATGTCAATGGTACTCGTACAAGTCCCGAGTCCACTTCATCCAAAAAGAAGAAAAATCAGCAACTAAAGTGGGATATTCTCCAACGGAATGCTAATTCTCATTGCAAGTGGGAAGGAATCGTTTGCAACAAGGATAACAAAGTAACTCAGATCTCTCTCTCGCGGTTGGGACTATCAGGAACACTTCCCGACGAATTGCATCAAATGTCGCAATTAGAAATGATCGAAGTCAATAACAACAAAATCCATGGGAGGCTGCATGCCTCGTATGGTAAAATGTCGAGCTTGAAGCTATTCAATGTGGAAGATAATCATCTTGAAGGCAGCATCCCAGGGTCCTGGTCACATGGAATGACAAGCATGGAGTTCTTCTCGCTTGCTGGCAACTCTTTCACGGGCACTTTGCCACAGCTTGATGACTGGAAGTCGCTCATCTACCTGGACTTGTCAAGAAATCGTCTCGAAGGTCCTGTCAGCTTGTTTGAAAACAACCTGAAGCTTGCGACTCTTTCTCTACGTCGCAATCAATTGACCGGCACACTTCAACTGCAAAGTTCGCTTCCGGAAATGAAGGGCCTTGATCTGAGCCATAACCAACTGTCCGGGACCGCCATATCCAAAGATTTCTTGAGCAACATGCCTAACTTGCTTGAGCTCTCGATGCAATCTAATCTATTGACTGGATACCTTCCCAGCGAACTTTTCCTCCTGTCGCATCTCAGAATGCTTAGGTTGAGCGATAACTTGCTGACAGGCTCTTTGCCAGATGCAGAATCATCGACTGGAGGAAAGTGGAGTGATATGAAAGAATTGGAAAAAATAGAGTTGAAACACAACAAGCTTACAGGGACGTTGCCACCAAATATTTTTTGGCCGGGCAATCGATTGACAAGCCTTGATCTTGGATTCAACAAATTTGAAGGGAAGTTGCCCACTACGATAAAGTATGCGTCTAAGTTGCTACATCTCCTCCTTCCGTACAACCATTTTGAAGGCAGCATCCCAGTGGAACTTGCGAAAACGAATAAAAATCTGAAGTTCAATTTCACTGAAAACCGTTTCACTTCCATTCCAAAAGAGTTGTGCAATCATCGAATTGACCTCAACCAGCAAGCTTATTACTATTTGTATGACTGCAACCCGCTCATATGCGAAAAGGGTACTTTTACCTTAAATGGAGCCCAAGATATCTATTCCGGCTGCCAGACATGTGACGGGCTGTCAAAACCAGAGTCGGAGTATATTGGAAGAACGACGTGTCCAACAAAGAACTTTACATATGGAGATCAAGATATGGTAGGCGAGCTCAGCGAAACTGAAATCCTGCGTCTGCTCCATGCACAAACAGGTGGTATGTACTGGGGTCGAAAATATATGCATTGGGGCATGCCGGTGAATGATCCGTGTGACCACCCTGGTATCACCTGTACGAACAGCCATGTGGTCAAAATCGACTTGAGTGAAGTTTCTCTATGCACTGACTACAAGCGCAATCCTCTTCCTGACGAAGATTGCCGGGGAATCCCCTCAGAGTTGGCGGTAAGTCGTAGTTGCTTCAAAACTTGTCCTTCTGCTGCAACTTTCTCATCCCTATCACAGTTACTGGAGCATTTGGAAGTTTTGAACCTGGGAAAGCAACAGCATCTACGAGGAACGATCCCATGGGAGCTGGGTCATACCAAGCTCAAGTATCTGGAGATAACCAATGCACCTGGCATGAACGGGACCATTCCTAGTTCCTTTGGGCATATGACAAACCTCAAGGTGTTGAATCTGAGTAGCTGTAAATTCAACGGCACCATTCCCGAAGAATTCTACGAGTTGACGAAGCTGGAAAAGCTTCATCTCAATATGAATGATTTTTCGGGACACATTTCATCCAATATTCAAAAGTTGACAAATCTAAAGGAGTTCATGATGTCGCGGACTTACCTCTCAGGAACGATTCCTGAGGAACTGGGGAAGTTGACAGCGATTGAAAACTTGGAACTTTATGGAACTCATTTGACAGGGAATATTCCCGCCTCGATTGGAAATTGTACAAATCTGAAGAGAGTGGGTAAGTAGTTTGGGAAGCAGCGGATGAATTTTATTGCCAATTGGCCTAATCTCACATTGTTATTCCTTCTCTGCAATTTGCTGCCGTTCCATCAGATATGTTCAACAATAAATTGACTGGGTCCCTGCCAAGTGAACTATCTAAGCTCCAGTCACTACAAATCCTCCATCTCAAGCTGAACCAACTCACCGGAACAATAAGCCCCAATTTTGGTGAACTTTCGTACTTGTCTTGGTTTGACGTGTCTTCCAACAAATTGAGCGGAACGATAAGCCCCACTTTTGGAGCATCCCGTTCCCTGCACGACTTTCGGGTCGGCAACAATCGAATTTACGCTCCGATTCCTCCCTCTCTTTGCAAGAATGTTCACATCAACGGTGGACTCACCGCTACTTATGGGTGTGACGCCATAGTTTGTCCCTTGGGAACCTTTTCTGAGACGGGACACGCCATCGATACCAATCCAGGCTGCCTAGCATGCCCGGAAGGCCTGACAAGCATTTACTTGGGAGCAATCCGGTGCGAACTGATTTCGGATCATGACATTTTGAACATGTTTTATGATGTCTTGTTGAATGATTTGGATGCAAAAGAACGAAAGCAACTGGGTAGCGAAATGGGAGGAGGACTCTACAGAGAAAGCATGATTGGCGCCACCAATACGAAAGAAGACGATGATGATAGTGATACCACTGGATCCCATTCGAGCTGGAAGGATCCATCCGCAAGTGTCTGCGAATGGAAGGGTGTAAGATGCGGCTCGAAAGGAGAAATTTTGAGCTTTCGCTTCCCAACCCCATTCATGGATGAATGAAACTGAATAAAGTGATAAATGCTAAGGACAACTACCATTGCTATTACTTGCATATATTCTACTTGTGTGCGTGTGTGTTTTTGTGGTGGCAATGTTTACTTACTCGCTGTTCGTTCGGCAAAAAAGGAATCAAATTCATCATCCGACTTCAAATTTGCTGATGGTTTTTGGTCATCGACTCCTTCATCGTCATCATCATCGCCGATGGTAAAGTTTGCAGCGGCAGCAGCACCGCCATCATCCAACAACAGGTCGTCTAGTTGATCCGAAACAGAGGGCACATCGGCACTGGCAGTTGTCGTAGAAGCAGATGTTTCTGTCATTGCCGCTTGATCAATGTCGGTCAGTACCTTTTGCAAGGCGTCATTCTTCTGCAAGCATTCCATAAGGACCTCTTCACTGACAGCTCCCATGGCAGCTACTTCGACCAATTCCACCATGCGAGGAACACAAGCTTCCAAAAATCCCACCACGCTCATCATGGTGGTATTGTCAGTCGAAAAACTCGGAGCCGCAGCTCCTGGATGAAGCATGCTGGTGCACAAGTCCATCTTTTCTTGGAGGGTTGCGAGATCCGTGCGGATTTTGCTGTCAGCCTTTTGCGCGGAAGTTGCAGCTAATTCTGTTTCTGCAGATGCCATTCTTGTGCTGTTCAAGTTGAAGATGTATTCTAAACTGTGCCGGACGAAAGTGCAAGTTGCAATGCTCTGTTGCTATATTTTGCTTCTGTGGTTCGATTTATTTCAACCGCCGGGAATCAGTCGACTCAGCTGACTGAACATGTAGCCGACTTCTTCGACCAGCACATGCGTCAGCTTCGACAATCATAACCGAATATTGAATATGTCCTGTATCTTTGCAACCGACGGCACCGATACACTATTGTACTTTTCAATTCTATCAAGTGGGACTACAATACTATACAATTAAGTCTACTGGTATAGAAGCTGCTAGATGACAACAGCACATGCAGGACAGCGAGTGACTACTCGTCTGGCGTCTCTTCAATCTTGACCGCTTCAGCGTCGGTCTGTATGTTTTCTTCTTCCAGTTGTGCATTGCGCTCGGCGGTGATGCGATTCAACTCCTTCTTGGCGTAGTAGGATGTGACTGCGACGGCAGCGATTCCAAATATAACTCCGACAACCACGACGATGATTGTCACTGTTGAGTTGTCGCCACTGCTGGCACTGTCCGCCAAGGATCCCGCCGATGCCCCAAGGAAGACATAGAGTACAGTTCCAGGTAGAATTGCAATCAACGCAATCGCATATTCGTAAAACTTTAGGGATGTCACACCTGCGATGTAATTGATAGCGTTCCATGGGATTAAGGGCGACAATCTTAAAAGCGTCATGATGCGCAATCCCTTCTCTTCAAAGGCAATATCAAGCGCTTGAAAGATGGCATATTTTTTAGCCAAGGTGCTAACCCAGTCACGTAGTAGATATCGTCCAATCAAAAAGGCAAAACAGGCACCAATACTGGCTCCAACAAACACAGCGAGCGTCCCAAGCGCGACCCCAAGGCCTAGCCCAAAAGCATTCGCAAAGACAAAACCAGCTCCAAGTGTCAAGATAGATCCAGGAATGAAAAAGACAGTAGCGATAATATAGACCCCCATAAATGCAAAGATACCGATAGTGGGATTGTCTTCAATCCATGCCAAAAAGTCTTCGACAGCCCCGCTCACATGCTTGGTCGTCAACGAATCCGCAATCACATAGGCAATGAAAGCGACAAAGATGAGGGCAAACAGCGACTTCTTGATGCAGGCTTTCTTTTTGGCAGCCTCGTCTTCAGGAGTGAGAGGAATGTTCGTCTCTGGTTCGTCACCCGATGGGACGGAGGCAGTGTTCTCAACTGGCATTATGATATTGGCAGCAGGTATTAGATGTGCTTGTTCGTTGTTGTTGGTCTCGGCAGTCTCGATTGTTGTCTTGTGACTGGAGGCGATACTGTAGTAGCTTGTTCGAGCTGCTACAGGGATTGTGTGTTGCAGCAGAAGGGATGATATGTAACAGTGGTGTTCGTTCAAGAGGAGGAAACAACGATGTCTTCTATTATTCTGTCATTAAAAAATGCCTGAGCAACAAAATGTCGAACTTGTTTCGCACACGTGTCCTAATCGTAAATAGCGTGGCGTTTGATGCTTGGGCGTTTTTTCGGAATAAATACACTTAACGACCTTCTATATTCTGCTCAAAATTGTTGTTGCCCTAAGTACAATCCCCGAAGAAACTCAAAGACCACATTTTTCATGCTCAAGCAATTTTTGACGATGTTCGATGTCACACATCCTGCTCAAGCCGAACATTTCGGAACAATCTGAGAAATCAATCTTGTATCTTTCTCGATCGTTCTCACAATTTTCAAACAACCATCTTTTTTTACCACCTCAACAAAATACCTTCCTGTCCCAACATCTTCGACACCACATACAAGTTACATTCACCACATTCTTACTTTATACGATATCATGATGATGTCTACTCCTGAGAACACCAATAACAACAACAACAATAATAATGAAGATGTTACCATCCCCTCTGGTGTTGAAGAGCAAATGACTACTCCAGCAGAGCAAGAAAATGCCCCGCTTACCCCAGAAGAAGAGGCCGCCAAGAAGAAAGCCTGTTACAAAAAGGCATTCATTGCCGTCATTGTGGTAGCCTTTATCGCATACGTGATTGCGGACTCCCTGACCACTGGTCATGTGACGGGCGCCGTCGAAGACTTTTTGGCATGGATTGAAGACAATCCAGTTGCCGGAATCTTTGCTTTTATTGGAGTTTATTTCGTGGCGACAGTCTTTTTCGTTCCTGGATCCATCTTGACACTGGGTGCTGGCTTTGTGTTTGCCAATGCATTTGGCCTGGGTCTTGGAGTAGCCCTTGGAGTTTTGGCTGTCTTTGTGGGGGCCAGTGCTGGTGCTTGTGCCGCCTTTTTGCTTGGACGCTACTTGCTCCGCGACTGGGTCAGCAACTTGGCTCAAAAGTATGCCATCTTCCAAGCGCTTGATGTTGCCTTTGAAGAGAAGGGGTTGCGCATCATGACACTTTTACGTCTGTCGCCCTTGATCCCATTCAATGCCATCAATTGGGTTGCAGGCATTACTTCGTTGAGGTTTTATGAGTATGTGATTGCTTTGATTGGCATTTTGCCTGGAACCACGTTGTTTGTCTTTTTGGGAGCCTCTGCTGGCTCCTTGGCGGACAGTGCCAGTAGTGGAGCCAACGCCACCGTTACCATCATTGTGGCCGTGGTGGGAATTTTATTCGGCATTGCAGCGGTTGGAATCACCTCCTATTATGCCAAGAAGGAGCTAAATCGCATCACCGAAGAGCGCAATGCTCAGCTCGAGGAAAAGGCAAACGACGAATCCACAGACGAAGAAGCTCCTGGAAGGATTGCAGAAACAACTCCAGAACCATCATCTTCCGAGTGAGCTTCGGTACTTCTTGAAGCCAAAAACGGAGTTTGCGTCCTTCCATAGCCAACTATTTTGTACATTATTAGAATCCTTTTTGTCATTTCCGTTGTTAGCCACCATCATTTGTGATTGTTAGCGGAGAATGAATGAATCCTCCAAATTTGTTTTCAACGATAGCCCAGGCAAGTCTTCAAGAACACAAAATTTAACCTAGGACTAACATGATATTGCACGGATTCTATACATTGGAGCACGTTGGGAAAGCCTTTTCTGTTCGACTTTCCCATTTGCTCTTGTTTTTGGAAGATCGTTCTCCTTTCCTTGGATCGGCATTACTAGAAAGGATGCCTACCTATATAGTCTCCAGACTTTCTTCTTCTCCCTCTTCATGTTCACCTTCCCCTTCTTCCATGGCTGGAGCAGTCTCAAAGCCACTGGATGATGAGTTCAAATCTTCGGGCGACAAGACCTCAGTAACCGACAAGGCTTGGATCCTCCGTTTGCGTTCGGTAATCTTGTTGAGCTCTCGCTTTGCGTAGTAGGATGTCAGTCCAATCGCAGCGATTCCAAAGACAATGCTAGTCACAATCACAATTGTCGTAGTCGTAGAGCCATTGCCGCTTTCGTTTGTACTGGCCAAGCTTCCAGCCGAAGCACCCAAAAAGACATAGAGGACCGTTCCTGGCAACAAGGCTAGAAGGGACACGGTATATTCCATGATGCTAATGCCCGTAACTGCCGACAGGTAGTTCAAAATATTGTACGGCAAGGCCGGTGATAAGCGTAAGAGTATCATGATCCGGAGGCCCTTTTCTTCCATGGCTGTGGTCAACGCTTGAAAGGTGTCGTATTTGGTCGACATCCGGCTGACCCATCCGCTCAAAAAGTATCGTCCCAAGAGGAAGGAAACCAAAGAGCCTGCTACGGCTCCAAGAAAGGAAGAGATGGAACCCAACAAGACACCTTTGGAAATACCAAAGGCATTCGCAAAGACATAGCCAGCACCTAACGTCAAAATGGCTCCAGGTATCAATAACACGGTCGCTACCAAAAAGACAATCATAAATGCAAAGATTCCTGGAATGGGATTCTGCTCGACCCATTCCAAAAAATCACTGAGCAGCATTGGGATGATGCAAAACTTGGTCGAGTCCAAAATCAAGAGCACCACCACCACAATGAGAAGAAACATGCACAATCCCTTCTTGTGCCATTCTCGGTTCTTGGCTCTCAGTCGTTCCAGGAGAGACTCCTCCTTTGGTGCTTGCCTCCCTTCCGTTTGAGCTGGCAATGCACTTGCATTGTTGTCCATCGCTGATGTATTATTATTATTGTTGTTGTTGTTATTGTTGTTGGGAGACTGCTGGTCCAAAGAAGAAGATATTGGACTAGCTGATGATGATGATGATAATTCTTCCATGCTGCTGCTGCTGCTGCTGCTTTCCACAAGAATGGCAGAGGAGGACGCACTGCTTTCTTCCGTATCTCCTGGCTTGATCATTTTCTTTGTATGCATGTAATATTACTGTTGTTTACTAATACAGCAAGTAAATATAGTATAGACTGTCAACGGAACCTACAACAGGGGCGACGAATCTTGTTGATAGGTAGGTACAGAAGGGAGAAAACACAGCCCAAGCATTTTTCTGACGAAGTTTTATTTTTTAATATTTTATTGAGAAGGGACCGAAGAAGAAGGCTGGACTAGAAAAGGCCCAATGCAATGATCCGGAGGAGCACAGACGCTGTAACTGAACGATGAACTTCAATTTCTGTAAAATTGAAACTATGGTCAACGTATGCATGGACCGGAACGTCTCAGGGGTGCTGCTATTCCCGACCCCCTTCAATCTATTGTTGTATGTGGGTGTAACATGCCGATATGTGGTACGTCTGAAGAGAAATGGAAGCTGGAGATGCACATACGTTGGCGCCCGGGTTCCGCGGAACAACCAATTAATGATGACCCTTTTGACGGCGACGACCACCATCACCAAGCCTATACAGTATTCTATTGAAAGATGAAGGTACATGAGTACCAATATCAAGGCAATGAGGGAGAAGAAGTGCCCGAAAATGTCGAAAAGCTGACTTTCCCATCCAAGCATTCAGGTTTTGCCTTGCAAGCTATGTGCATCCATTACAAGTTTTTGAAGGAAGTAACTCTGCCGGAAGGATTGACCAAGATTCGTTATGGCGCTTTTGCTTACTGCTCAAGTTTGTCGGAAATCAAGATATGCAGCACTGTCGAATTCATTGGGGCAGCTACATTCAGAGATTGCCAGCTCCTGACGAAAGTAGAGTTTGGATTATTGTCATGCCATCATCGACTCAAGACCATTGGCCAAGCAACGTGCCTTCTAGTCTTGCTTCTTTTTGCTACAACGAATCAAGATCCCCTCGTCTGTGAACATAATTGGCGAATCTGCCTTTTATAAGTGCTTCGCTTTGATAGAAGCAGATATATCAACAACATGCATCACAGAGATTTTATTTCGAGTCATTGTGCTTCCGAATGGTGGATCCCCAAAGCCCACGAAGCGAGTTTTGAAAGCTGTACAATATTGCAAGAGCGCTTTGGTGAAGATGCAGATAGCATTGTTGCCGGTTTGATTCGCCGGTTTGACAACTTTCCTGTCCATGGACTTTGTTATGACCATTCCTTGACTACTACTGCTCAACAACTTTTTGTCACTCTATTTATAGAGTACAGAGTATCAAGGATCGCCGCTCGTGGATGAGTTTGGAATGACTCCATTCCACGTCCTTTCTTCGACCATTGAACCATGTCAAGGTGTACTCGAAATTCTTTTAGAAAAGTACGATCCATACCATACGGGTAGTTGGTAAAATTCTGGAATCGAAAGACGCAAATGGGAAACAAACGACCAATGGATTACTTGCTGACTCACTCGCTGCTGGACTGAAAGAACTGCATCATTGCTTCAAAGGACACTCCAGAGGTGAATGGTGAATCCACATGTCCGTTGGGGGGCTACATCCTGGACATAGAAGCCATGCAAAGCAAGGTGCGAGCTATACTTTTGTCAACAAGGACAAAAGGGCATATCTGTGCACTGTGGCTTATTCTACCTTTGCATGGAAACCACATCAATCTTGGAGATGGCCTTGTGGAAAATTCAACTCCAGGGTGAATGGAACAATGCTACGACTCAGCAACAAGCTCTTGGACGAGAAGAGTGTCGCTGTGTTTGTGGATCGGACGGTGTAATTCCGAGGAGTGTTGCAATGTTTTTGGAAAATTCTCAAAAACAACAATATAGCCCAAGCATATCTAGCTAACAATTTTATTGATAACTGACTACACTATATTGACATCTGCATTCTTCGATACAAAGGACTGCATTGCAATCCACAATCAATCACCCGAAAGAATGTTTTGGTGAGAATGAAGAATGAAGAATAATAACGAAAGTCCGATGGAAAAATGTTTTGCCAGAATTTTTCGGTCTGCCCTTCCCACCTAATTTTGAGGATTTTTCACATCCTCATCATCGTTCATTATACTTTTACGAAAGGTACCTGGTACCGTATGCCCATTCTATTGCACAAGCAAGTGTATATTGAAAGATGGAGGTAACTGAGTACCGATTTCAAGGCAATGAGGGAGAAGTAGTACCAGAACGTGTTCAGAAGTTGACCTTCCATCCATGGATTCGGTTTTTGCCTGACGACTTGTGCACCAACCGTACGCATTTGCGAGAAGTAACTCTGCCCCAAGGATTGATCAAGATTGGTCGTGATGCCTTTAGCGATTGTACAAGCTTATTTGCAATCAAGATCTGTGGCGCTGTTGAATATATTGAGAATTATGCATTCATGGCCTGCGAAGGCCTTGTGAAAATAGAGTTTGAATCATCATCATCTTCCGCCCATCGTCTGACCATTGGCGAATTTGCTTTCCATTCTTGCCTTGCGCTAGAAAGGATCAAGCTCCCTTCGTCTGTAAACACGATTGCAAATTCTGGCTTTGAGAGCTGCCTTGTGCTGTTGGAAGCTGATCTATCAGCAACATCCATCACGAAGATTTCCCGAGAGGTGTTCGCTCATTGTCACAACCTGCAAAATGTGAGCCTTCCAAACTCATTGGAACGTATTTGTTACAATGGATTCTATGACTGTGGTTGCTTGGTAACAGTGATAGTTCCCCTAGGTTCCCAATCTATCAAGATTGAAGATGCAGCCTTCGACGACTGTTCTTCGCTTGCAAATATTGTGCTTCCGAAAGGGTCCAAAGCACAAACTGATTCTTTTGATTACTGCGCACTTTTGCAAAATCGCTTTGGTGAGGAAGCAGATAGTATAGTCGACGGTCTGGTAGCCCGTTTCGATGGTTTTCCTGTGCATAGACTGTGTTACGATCATTCCTCTGTCACTGCCCAAGAACTTGGTCAGTGTATTGAGAGGTCAAAGGACGAGGGGTCACCGCTCGTGGATGAGTTCGGTATGACTCCGTTCCACGTTCTCTTTACGACTGTCGGATCAAGGCAAGATCTGCTTGAAGTTCTTCTTGAGAAGTATCCATACAATGCTCTCGGTTGGAGAGATGCGAACGACAAGCTAGCAAGTGAGTACTTCTTGGTGAGCAAAACCTGGACTCGAGAAAACGAGATTTTGCTGCAGATAATCCTGCAAAGGGGAATAGTGGACCCAATTGTCCGTTGGGGTGCTCCTTCTTGGAGAAGAGCCATGCAAAACAAGGTGCAAGATATACTTTCTCACGAGGTCAGCAAGGAACAAAGGGCATCTTTGTGCACTGCGGCGTATTCTGCCTTTGCAAAGTACGAAGGCATGGAAGCCACGTCGATCTTGGAGATGGCCTTGTGGAAAGCGCAACTCAAGGGTGGATTGAACAATGCTACGCCTCAGCAACAAGCGCTTGAACGGGAAGAGTGCCGGTGTGTTTGTGGATCGGACGGTGTGATTCCGAGTGTTACAATGTTTTTGGGGATATCTTAAGAACAACAATATAACCCTAGCATATCTAGCTAACGATTTTATTGATCACTAACTACATTGACATCTGCATTCTTCGATACAAGTGACTGATTACAATCCATGTGTACCGGTACCATGTTAAATAGTGGACTAGAAAAGGCCCAATATACGGTCCGCCATCGGTTCTTGTTTTATGGTGGTGGGCTCTTTAGTGAAATTTTAGCCAATGAGAGTTAGTCGATTCACTAAAGATGAGTCTATTATTAGTGGTATGAGCCAATCACAGCTCTCTATCACTAA